ATGATTTGTTATTGTGGTAAGATGTCGTTCATCTATCATACAGGGCCAAAAAATACAAGGAAATCTTTTTATGCTACTTCTAAATGACTTCAAGTTAGTTGGTCAACTATGATCATGATCACCGACCGAATCAAGAAAGGCTATCGATTTTAATGCATCGTGACTATTATTCTTCACGGTTTCTGCAGAAAAAAGATGTGTGGAGCAGCATACTGGCAGTTGTGGAAAGAGATAGTCAGCAGTTAACGCGTAGTAAAACTCAACGATGAATAAGGCAGGGATAGTGAGTTGAAGTCATTCGAATTGGTCAAATGGCATGTCTCGAACTTGCAGGTGTGGTCCCTGTTGAATGCATTTTTTGTGTCTTTTACTCATATTAAATATACTGTTCTATCTCCAGTCTGAATGTGTTCTTCATCATATATCGATAATTGTTACGATACGATGAGTCAGTGTAGACAATGATGTGACTTCCACGTAAAATCTTATAGATTAGGCAGTTACATCATAACAAATCTACAATTTTATGATTAGGTCTATTATTAGATCAGTATTAATATCATAGTAGACCAGAATTATACAAACTATATTATATTAGGCCCGCCAATTTTGTGTCGCAAATAGGTTTATTAATATCGATCAAAATCTTTAAGCCAGCACTGAAAAAATGGGCCAAGTATCACTCATCTCTTAACTGGTTCTGATGTACTGTGGCTTTTGGATCGAGATTTACTCGTGTTGAATCATAAAGTCATAAAATTTGTTGATTAGCGCTTACATCCACATCTTGGTGGTAGCATATATTATTGTACATATCAATCGATACTAGTAGCTAAATGACTATGGCAACAATTGACCGTTGTAATTCTCGAGCGAGTTTTATTAACCTCTGCACATCCACTGCAGTGTGTTAAAATACCAACCATTATAAGGACTGACTATCGACAGATTTAAACCCCTTGAAATTTGTTATGACTATATTATAGCTTAAAAGAAAAGGCTGACTCTTCAAGAATGCAGGTGTTTTATATACACCTGTGGCTAAATACACAAAAAATACCACACAGGTTTTGACAAGGTTATTAAAAATAACTTGTTTGTACAGAAGCTATACTCGCTGAACATATTTAATATTTGTTAAGGAACGACACCTTATTTTGAACAGTTAATTAGTGGTCAGAGTAATATACATAATATGGAAATAACGTTGACCCACTGAAATTCGAAATTGTCACTACTGTATTTGAAAAGACCTAATTTTGTAATTTTATTTAGAAAATTTGAATTTCTTTGTCTTCGCGCAAAAGGCGCTCTTTTCACCTTCATGTTGTATTTCCCACTTGGGAGAATCTTAAATGCTATTGGTTTTTTGTGTCTTCTAGTATGTTATTTTGTAACTCTCCCCAAGGACGGTTTTGTGCTGTATTTATATGTTTTGATTTGTGTTTGTTGTTATCGCTCGTTTCTGGCTGTTTGCAGAATATACATCTCCATTCCAAGCTTGGACTTCTTCTTCTAGGTAGCGGGGCTGGGACGCATTAAATAGCTAGCTTATTGGTTTTCGGTCACTAATTCTTTGTTCCGTTCGCAGTCTAAGTGAACTCGTAACCGCAGCAAACCTGGCAGAATCTATGTCGTATTAACGTCGCAAGAGATCCACAATACATCATACATCATGTTTTAATCCCAAGTTACTTAACGGCGCATACATATCATACCGCAGGTTCTTTTTTGCAGATCTGCATAACCATTCATAGCAGTTCTGCCGCTTATAAATTACATATAGTGGTAAACCTTCCCGTTCGATCGTAAGACTATTATTCTCAGAAATGTTTTTCATATGTGTTCTATTCATTTTAAATTTAGAGGATTTCTCCTTTGCGACTCTGGATTTTTAATATGTTATTTTATTTGTATGGCTTTTACTGATTAAGTACGTTTTGCAATACATAATCTAATTGGGTAAAATGACAGTTCTATAATTGATCATAAATTTAAATGCACATTGTTACCTAAACAAATATGACCGCTCAGCTATACAACCAATAATTGTTCAATTGATCAAATCTAAATTAAAATAAATAAAGAAGTTGATAAAGGATGCAAGAAAATTACCAACCACAACAAATAAATGTTATTCTATCCTGTCTGGATAGATCAAGCATAGATTCGTTCAAAAGATAATATTTGGTCACTTTATAACATAGAGTGTCTCCAATTCGCGAAGAGTGCCTGAATTCACAACCAAAAATGCACAGTTCCAGTCAGCACAGGTAACGCAATCAATAGGAGGAACGAACAGATATGGCTGCCGCCAAGACTAATTATAAAGCAAAACAACATAAGTGCAGTTCGGGAAGAAACACGAAGACTTAGTGAAGGCGTAATAAAAATAAAAACTATAATAAAATACAAATATTAACAATTCAAATGTAATAAAAAAACTAACAAGGTACAACTAAGGGGGTCAATAGGAACAAAGGGCAAGTATATACATGGAGGGAATTTCACACACACAAAACATTTCAAATGGATCTTACACAAAGGACCTAAAATTGACGACTGTTACACTGATTCTAATTTTTTTCCAAGTTTATCTATTTTCTTTTCGTCAGAATAACGTTTCTTTCTTGACGCGTATACTTCAATGCCTTCTCGGGGGTTTTGAGAGTGACATTCTACAGTTAGGCTGTACTCCATATCTTGAGGAACGAAATAATGCATTATAATTTCAGAAAGCCTTTAGTGTTTTTCCATTAAGATAAATAGCTCATGAGCTTGTCATTTTCGACATCAGGGACATAACGAGGTAAGGTTTCTGTAAGATCCATTTTAAATGTTTTGTGTGTGAAAATCCCTTCATGTATACACCTGCACTTTGTTCCCATTGATCCCCTTAGTTGTACATTGTTAGTCTTTTGATTACATTTGAATTGTCAATATTTGTATTTTTTATTATAGTTTTATTTTTTCTCACGCCTTCACTAAGGATTTGTGTTTCTTCTCGAGCTGTATCTATGTTGTTTTACTTGATACTTGGTCTTGGCGGCAGCCATATTGATTTGCTCTTACTTTTGTGCGTGTTCTATCCAGTCAGGATAGAATAGCCTTCATCTGTTGTGATTGGTAATTTTCCCTCATCTTTTATCAACTTTATTTATTGTGATTTAGATTTGATCAATTGAACAATTATTTGTTTGAATGGCCGGGTAGTAATATTTGTTTAGGTAACGATGTACATTTAAATTTATGATGAATTATAGAACCGTCATTTACCCGATTACTTGTTTTGATTTTGACGGGCAAAGGCGCGTGTCTAACCTACCTGAACGGCTATTCTTCAGTCCAAACAGTAGTTTGTATTCCACAGTTTCCATTTTTTGTCTTTTGAATTTTCATTGAATCGTCAACAGGATGAGCTTAGTGAATTTGGTGTACACTGACGGCGTTCGGATAAGGAGGTCCATGGATAGCGAGAAGGATTTATTGGAATTTTAAAAGGATATAACAATAATAATAAAATAGGTAGTGGACAACGGACCAATATTTAACTTAACAAAATAGGATTTCCCTTGTTTCCTAGGTGAAAAGTAGCCTGTATTTTTCTTCTCTGAGCAATATCTGAAACTTGTGATCACATTTAGCATAGACATCATTTCAAACTATTTTTCAAGATGAAACCGGAGCAAATATAGCCCTTAAATTCATACAAGGATAGCTTTATGCATTCACCCTACAGTTATTTATGATATCATTTGAATCATACTGAAGACTCCTGTTAGTATTGCGCAACATCGTTTTGTACCCCTTTTTTCAAATGTACCAAATCTCATAGGTCAGGTATAGAGATGGGAAACTAAGTGGATGGCAGAAAAAAGAGACACATCTTGTTAGCATGGACTCTGACACTCAGAATGTCTCTTGCTGAACGATAGGAGAATAACAGGTGTCTTGATAATGGTTTGTGGCATGTTAAGCTCGCCAAGTCATTACAATAGATACGTTCTACCAGAATATTATAACCACGCTCCTCGAGTCAACCTCCAAAATAAAATCTAGACTGTTCTCCCACTTTTGCTCACTTAGAGTTGCCTCCATTTGAGATTATCTGACAAATAAATTGGTTTCACCCTACTAGCAGATAGTCTTGTAGCGTGGAGTCGAGTCGCGGTTGACTATGAACACCACTTCAAGAAGAGCGCGTGCCAGGAAATCAGAAGGCAGATGAGGGTTGTAACAAGATTCGTTAGTTGACGATCTCGTGGTATCGAAAGCATACCGAGATCGTGCCAAAGGAAATACAAGCGGAATCAATGGGCAGACGTGCGAGCGTAATAGGCCACAGTCAAAGGAGAAATAATGGAGGAGTAAGGGATGTCTTCACTACAGTTAAAAAGAACGAGCACAGTAAAACAATCGCTGGTGCAATTGGTTATAATAATAATTGTTTCCATTAAACTTATCGCGTTCTCTCAGTAAAAGTAGGTCACTACAGTCTCAAGAGAAAATTTGACAAACAGGTAACTTCTCAGGGATTACCACTTCGCTCTTGGATTAGCTGTGAGTGATGCACGTCCGATAAATTTTCAACCATTACCCTCGATACATATCATGAGTTCTTTCTGTCATTATCATTTCCATTTTCTTTTCCATTCTCACATTTTGGCGTACCATTGATGTCTTCATAAACGTTTTAGTAACAGTCGTTTCCTTTAAAATTCAGATCCACTCTTCGTTATTTTTTCAGTGCAACTAAAAGAATTTTTATCTCTTGTAATGTTGTATCTACTGGCTCCAGTCACCCTACTTCACTGAGATTAATGCAATTAATCAAATTATGAAATACATAAATTTACAAACAACTGTCAAGCCAACTAGAACTAGTTCAACCAATTGACAAGATCGGCATCAATTAGATAATAAGATCCGTACTGAAACAAGAGGAATTAAGTGTGTCTGACTCATACAATACAAAATTAGAGATATTGGATGTTCACTCACTGAAAGTGGGTGGGAGTTTCTAATGCTTGCTACTTCAAGGTTACGTACTCAAGTTGCGTAGCTTATCTCTGACTATTTGCCGTGAGTATTGTAAGCATCTCCGTGTAACACACTTCAAACCCTGAATTGTCAACTTCGTTGAAAGTAAAGTATATGGGCTACCTTTTGCCGTCAAAGAGGCAATGTTTGTTGCGTCGCGAATACTGAAATTATTCACATTAAAAACATAACTATATTGTCCTTGCTTAACAAATGCAACATGGAATATGAACATTTGTGCATAAGATACAACGATTTCCATTGAATTACGATATTGACTGTAGTCGATGGATTGATTGAGTTGAGATCCGATCGGTTCGCCCATGTACTTTGCTTCTGAAACTAGTTGAAGCCTTCATACGTGGAACTCATATGATCGTAAATTCACATACAGTATGTTTATACGACTTCGGTTATTTATTATCTTTTGAATCATTTGCAAAGTGTATGAGGAAGGGGGTCATTAAACGTATAACGGTATGGTTTTAATTTGTGGCCAATTTTTTAAATTTGATAGTACCATATGACCATCACATTCGATACCATACACTTAAAGCTCAGGGCAGATGTGCCTGTAAACATGGTAATGAAACGACCTTTAGATAAATCCGAATTAATACTAGTGTGTTGAAACATTTCTAGCTTTTCGATTCTCACAATCGCAATTTATATGTATATGTAACCAAGCAAGACTCAGACTGGGACTAATCAACTCAACATTTCAACTCTGTCTTGATTTGATTACTAGTTACGCCACTCTTACCATTTCTACTTTTGTCAGTTTAATATTTTAATCTAAGCTTTTACTAGCCATTCGCAAAAAAACTTATTCACTTTATTCTTGGACTTTGTAGACACATCATTTACACGATAACTCATATAGTGGAGTGACATCAGGGTAGTGTTTCTTAAAACATACTAATGACCGAATAAACTATACACGTTTTCATTATTTATCTTTGATCAGCCTTAGTAAACTCTGGAAGAGTGGAACACAATATTTTTCTGTACTATGTTTTGTTGGAGGTAGGCGAGTTAATGTCATATGTATCTGGCATAACGTTTTAAAATGATAAGTTATTCCAAAGGTTTATTCTTCGGAGATTAATTGAGTTTTACACTAACATAACACAACATACTCTGGTATTATTAGTCAAATTTTTTTGAAAAAATTTGTACTGAGACCTATGGGCGAGACTCTAATTTAGCGACGAACCAATCAGAAGCGTTTGAGCGATTTCAAGGTCACGGAGCCAAGTTCAACACGCGATGCTAACATATGGTCGGTTCACAGCGGATTTTAGAGAGGAGGTGATTAATGAGAGGTTAAAACAGATGGGACGGCGAAACTCTTATTCAGGGACGAGCGAATGAGAAGCGTTTGAGCAATTTCAATTATTAGCCAATCAGAAGACAGTATAACGTAAAAATATATTACAAGAAAGTAATGAATTACAGTGGATATTCTTATTTTACATTATTTAAAAACTTGTTGAGGTTTGATAAAAGCTCAGAAGTTCTGAATTCATAGTGCATATTGTATAGAAACTCGTCCATAGGGTTAGGGTTTAGGGTTAAGGTTAGGGTTAAGGGTTAGGTTAAGGTTAGGGTTTAGGGTTAAGGTTAGGGTTAGATTAGGGTTTAGGGTTAGGTTAAGGTTAGGGTTTAGGGTTAGGTTATGGTTAGGGTGTAGGGTTAAGTTTAGTTTAGGGTGAGGGTGCTAACATGCGATCGGTTTAAATCGGATTTTAGAGAAGAGGTGTATTTTGACAGGTTGCAGCCCCATCCTGACCCTAACCATAACCCTAAACCCTAACCTCTAAAATCCGTTGTAACCTGATCGCATGTTAGCACCCTAACCCAACCTTAACCCTAACTCCTAACTTTAACCCTAACCCTAGGCTACAACCCTAACGACTAACCCTATGAACGAGTTTCTATACCATATGCATATTGAATTCAGACCCTCTGAACATTTATCAAACCTTAACAAATTTTTAAATCATGTGAAAGAAGAATATTCACTGTAATTCATTACTTACAATATATCCTCACTTTATACTAACTGTCTTCTGATTGGCTAATAATTGTCAAGGTCATTTAAGATTCGTTCAAAGGTCGTCGCTAAATTAGAGTATCGCCGACCTATGTTTTTAAGAGGATATATCCTTTTTTGAGGTGGAATAGCTATTTATTAAAATATCAAGTTTGGAAGTATTGGTTTCCTTTAATTGTTCTCAAATACCTGGAAATAACCTTTAAATACTTCCACCTAATTAGTTTTCGTTTATACTTTTATACTTCTTTTCTCATATTTAACTTTCAGGTTGAATAATATCTCCTCAGTATAAATAATGTCATCTGATTATTCAGACATGCCGTTACCTCCTAACTGGGAGTCTCGACTCGACTCAGAATCCGGCCACTGGTTTGTTGTATATTGTGTAATATTTTTTGTCAATAACCATTTTATGTAGGTATTATATCAATCATGAGGATAAGACTACTAGTTGGGATGATCCACGACCTGCATATTATTCTGCTCAACAATTAGACCTTTTAGTATGATTTCATTATTATAAGTATGCTTTAGAATACTTATCGAATGGGTTTTGGTGATCGACAAGATTTAATTGGTGAATTTTTCGACATACCTGAAATTTCTTCTAAGTAAAGTTGATTCATATAATTATTCCTTTATATTTCAAAATGTTTTCATAAGTTGTGTCGACTACTTATTTTTGATTGACTATAATTCATCGTAGCACTTTCAGATAAAAGATGGTCAATTGTTATGGATGTTTATCTAGTCAATATTGTTAGAATTCGTCCTTTTTATCGTTTAGCAACCCTTCATTTTGGTTACCAGACCATTTGCTTTTCAACTAATAGTTCGTAGATCCTAATTTCACCTCAGTAGCTGGGAACTAATCGTTAGCAATTCCAAGTTGTCTAAATTAACCTGTTGTTACGATTTCTTTTATTACGACCAAGCCACTCATATTGCCTAGCATTCTTGGACACTGCTTCACTCGAAAAGTCCCTAAATCAGAACACGGTTGAACAGGAACATAATTACATTCCAAATAAAAAGGTTGGATGGAAGTAGGAATCACGACAGGACAATGTTAGTATACTCATAGTTTTTACACGAGATTGTAGAGTCTTCAGGTATCCACTAGCGCTGATTGGTTAAGAAATAGCTAATTAGCGTGCCCTAACACATTACTGCATGGAGCATGCTTTAATTCAATTTATGTTCTGCTGACACCTGTTATTCGTAAACGAGTTATATGTGTACATATATATATTTCTCTAGAAGTTCAGTTCACTTGATTTAAAAAAAATATTATTTTACTCATAGGTCACAAAAAAATTCAAAATCTGTTAACCCTAAACCATGCGGTAAGTGCTATTTTTAAGCTATTTGGTATTGCTTACATTTTCACTATAGTTTGTACCAGTAATATTTTTTTTCAAAGTTGAGTAGAGGATAATATTTATTTATTTATTTAAACACATGAACATTGACACAAGGAAGCACCAAATAAATATGCACACACAAATCATTCGATTGATCCGAGGGCTATGATACTGCCGGGGTACACAAACCGAAGAACGTGGTTTTCTTAGGGGGCCATACCTGGAGCCATTGACCTAAAGGTCTGATCCACAAGACAGTGGAGCGACGTCAGCAGATGCAGTCCCATGGTAGCCGGTGACTTACGATTGTTTAATACGCCATTTGTTCCCTCAGGATCCTTGAGCACCATTGGTTTGGAATCAGGGCTTTCCAACTCTCTCAGGTGGACTTTCCGTGTTTAGCAACCCGGTTAATGCGCCGAACATTTGCTTTTCGTCCTCTCAATTTCGTAAAGAACAGTAATGCTACGAGAAGGCAGTGAGTAGGACTTCCCTGTCAGTGGTTGTATGTACGTGGTCATGTGAGAGCATTTGGAGAGGGAGAGGTGACTTTCTCCACTCCCGGCCGTATCAGGGCATTTGAAGGGGGAAATGATAAAATACTTGTTTATGTATAGTTAATCACTCATATCCCAGTCCTAGCGAACTATTGGATGTATGCAAATTTATCGGTATGCAAAATAATTTAGGAGTTTATCTAAACATATCATTGTAATCGAAAATTAACTGAAATTACTACTAAATTAAGGTTCTTCCTCTACTGTTTTGGTGAATTGGTTGTATGATCTGATACTTGAAACTGCTTAACTGCATTTACGCTATCGTTTTATATGATAAGACTTTGTTGTTGGTAATGGTATTTCATGGTTAGTCTCACATACGTGCTTTATGAAGATTTCATTAATTCTAAGGTTGATTCTATGATAAACTGATAAGTATCATTTACAAAACCGCTGTAAACAAATATACATTGTATAATTGTTTGATTAAGATTTTTTAGATACCCTAGTTACACTGAAACTTGATCATTTTATTTAATTTATTTATTTGAACACATAAATATTGGTGCAAAGGGGCACGGAATACATGTGCGCCACACAAGTCACTTGATTTGTGTGTGGGCTGTGATACTGCCAGAGTGCCCAAACCAAAGCAGGCGATTTTCTTTGGGATCTACACCCGAGCGCGAGATGACATCTGTTTGATTCTTTCCTCACTCCTCTTTCTATCTCTTCACGACCTCATTTTCTTTTGTGATGCATATTATTTTTGCGGCCATTTATAACAATAACATTGTGTTTAAACGTTAATAACGGAATTTTAGGTGATACTTTTGTTACTACATGTTTACTTTTTAAACAAACTTGTTTCTGTCTTTCAGCATGCATTTCATCATATATATGTACTTTCAACGTAGTAATTGTGTAGCATTTTTCTTGTTAATCTTTCCAAGATTAAAACAACATACGCTAATGTCCCACTAACTAATGTAATTAACTTCATGTATTCGACTTTAAACCACATTATTTGTACAAAGGTTGGTGATACTATTATCCAGTTAACCAAATCAAAACCAGTGAAGTTTGAACAAACAATCCGATGATCAATGTTACTAAAAACACAGTCTGTATAGGAATTGTTTCGTGAAAAAGCCAAGACCTTTAAATTTGGCAATAGGTATAGATCCTTTAAATTACAAGCGTTAAGTCTGTGTGTTACCGTAGGTGCATATAGTTGATGAGTACCGAGCCTGAAAGAAGCGGATATCTAACGCTTCAAACTTAGTATCACTATTTTAACAGTCTAATTTAAAAATTTGAATTAGTATTCATCCTACCATATTTTATTATTTTGATTTTAGATGATCATAGTAAAGATGGTCCAGCTACAAAAACACATCGTAGTCGAATTGAACCAAATGGAGAAAATTCATCAAGAAAAGATACTTATTCCAAAGGAAGACCTACTTCAACACATCGTAATCGTGAATCAAAATCAAGTGTTTGTTCACAAAATGATAATGAATCATATCATTCATCAGTTTATTTTTCACCGAAAACTAATAAAAAATCTAAATATGATTCATTATTATCAAAAACACCAACAGATAATGATGATCACAATGTTGATGATAATGTTTTTGCTACGGAATCAATTAAAAAAGGAGACACATCAGAATCCACACAAAATGATAAAGAGTCACTTCAAATCAAGTAAGTAACTGACACCACTTCCCTACGAGAATTCTTCAATAACTAATTTGTATTAATCAATCACTGAGTAGTAAAAATACCACCAAATGCCCTGGGACGACCAAGAGTGGGAAGAGTCCGCCCTCCGTTTCGAAATGCTCTCAAGCGGCCACGTGCATACAACCACTGCCAGGGAAGTCCCACCCACCGCCTTCTCGTGACACTACTGTTCTTTACGAAATTGAGAGGACGAAGAGCAAATGTCCGGCGTTTTAACCGGGTTAGTGGTTATAGAGGATCCATCTGGGGGGGGGGTTGAAAAATCCTGATTCCAAAACAAAATGGTGCACATGGGCTCCAGTATCCTGAGGAAAAAATAGCGTATGAACCAATTGTTGGTCCCCTGCTACCATGTGACTGTATCTCCTGACGTCACTCCAGTGCCTTGTGGGTCAGACCCCCAGGTCGAAGGCTCGGAGTGTAGCCCCTTTAAGAAAACCACGTTCTTCGGTTTGAGCACCCTGGCAGTATCCCAGCTCTCACATAAATCGATGATTTATGTGGCGCATATCTCATTGGTGCATCCTTGTCCCATTTTTATGTGTTTAAATAAATAGGGTATTTTCACGATGGAATGGAATCAGTCGCTAAATTATTAAAACACGAGAAAACGAACACTGGGCAGATAGTTTCCTATCTAAATTCACTCATCCACAATGAAAAATACACATCCAAGAATCTCTACAAAAACAAGATAATTTATTAAAAAAGTTAATGAAATTGAAATAACCAGTAAAAAAGACCAGATTTAAATAGTGTCTCAAAAGTTTTTCATCATGGCACCGTTTCGCTGAGCATAAGCTATTAACTAACTTAACAGGTATCAATTCATGTATTTCACTTCAGGCCATACTCTATTTCTGAGGACCAGAGTAATGCTATTCGATTTCTTGAACTGAAGTAGCTGGGGCGGGTTCTAATCAGCGAATTAGTGGCCTAAAGGTGAATTAAACTATTTAGCTACCGCTTAACGGCAGACTTTAACATCAACACAATAAATTATTTTAACACTAAAGATTCTAAACGAATCCTGCCTATACGCTACATCACATTGTTTTTTGTTGTTATTATGAAAATTTTTAATAAAAATGGCATACCTTTTAGTAAGATAATAGATGCTAGCCATTATAAATCTTTGCTTATAATGCTTGTGAATTAAGGCAATATCGAGGCAGTTCGCACAGGATGCACATATGCCTATAAAAGAGAGTGATCAATTGCAGCTCTAAACAACAATGAGAAGATACAAGCATACAATGCCAAGTGAATTTAAACTTCATCCAATTACACAAGCAAGTGGCTATCAGGGCTCAGTAGCTAAGTGGATAATGCGATGGCGTTTGGAGTGAACGGTACTGGGTTTGAGTCCCGGAGTGAACATCATCTCTGAGGTGCAGCTACATCCAGCTGACGGGTCCCGAATAGGAGGAGATGCGCGTCTTGGATTCCACTGCTAGCCACTATTCATCTTTTCTTTAAAAAAAGCTTGTAAATTGAGGCAGTACCGATGCAATCCACACAGGATGCACATATGCCTATTAAGAGACTGATCAATTGCAGTTCTAAACAACAATAGAAAAATACAAACAAACGACACCAAGTGAAGCTAACGAATAATGTCTATGATTTGCATTCATTTCAGTCTAGTAGATTGATTGTTTCTTTTATTGGTAGCCAGTTTCATGTTTGTTTATTCCTTCAGAGTACTGATTGAATTCTATCAATCACGTTGTGATATGCCCACCAGTTCTAATTAACTCAACATCATGTTTTAGAATAGTCGGCAAAAAACCGTTTGTTTTTCCTGAAAATCTTTCTATTCTCTTTTTGATCTTTTATTTGGTTTCATGTGTTGTTTTCGCATTCTTTCTATTCAACATTTAATAATTCCAGCAGGTTGTCGCTAGAAAAACACGTTGATACTGCTGTTACTACTACAACTCTTACTTCCAATACCGTTATTCTCACTGAAAATAATCCATTGCAAAAGGTTAATACTACAGAAATATCGGTTGAAAAGCAGTCATTGGTGAGTGCTTTGTAATGTTTATCACATCACTACCTTATTTATTATTTATTTGAACACATAAATGTTGGTACAAGGAGGCACCGAATACATATACGCCACACAAGCCACTTGATTTGTGTGTGGATTGTGATACTACTCGGGTGCTCAAACCGAGCTAGTGGTTTTCTTAGAGGACCACATCCGGAGCCTACGAACTAAAAGTGACCAATAGCAGGTTCATACACCATTTGTTCCCCCAGGATGCTGGAGTCCATGTGCTCTATTAGTTTGGAATCAGGGTTTTCCAACTCCCTAGATAGACCCTCCTTATCCACCAACCCAGTTAAAGCTCCAGAAATTCACTTTTCGTCCTCTAAATCTTGTGAACAACCGTAATGCCGTGGGAAAGCAATCAATGGGACTTCTCTGTCGGTGGATGTATACGTGTAACCATGTGAGAACATTTGGAGAGTGAGAGTGGACACTTCCCTTCCTCTGTCATATCAATGGATAAATCTGTACATTTCGATGCAGGAAATTATACATTAAGGATGATCGTGGTGTTGATAGTGCACCGTTGGACTCCGATTTGAATGTTTGAGCGTTCGTCCTAAAACCTGAAAGTCCTGAGTTATATCCCTAGCAAGATCGTAGGTGCGTACTTCTGGGGAGGCTCATACTAAACCAAAATATGTGTATGGTCCTTTCTGGTTTTCGATGGTACACCATCTGAGATGACTGCGATAAATTCAGGGAAGTATCAAACTATTAATTTGGACTACACTAGTTTTTTTTGCGTAGCCTTTGGACTTAGTGTGTTATTGAAAGATTCAACTTTCTACCACCTAATCGTGAATATGACCATTGCATTTCCTACTTTGATTTAAAAACAACGTTGTGATATACTTCACAAACCATGAAGTCATTGACTGTTGATTTGAGCCTTGTTAGTTGTTACAGACTACCTGCGATCGGTGGTTTCTCACGTTGGATGACATGGCCCAGAATCGGTCACAATAGTGGAAATGTATTCTAATTTCTCTTCATATACACCTTTTCTTTTCGTCTTCTTGAACCACATTCTCAGTATTTTATCATTTTTTTTTTACTGTGTTTGTTACGACAACCATATCCCCACGTATTTGCTATTTATCTTGTCTTGCTAATGTGCTACAATAACTTGTGTTAACACTCATTTTTGTCATAATCTACGTTGACTATCACTGACTTAATTTATGTTTCACAATGTGGCTCAAATTTAAGTTTAGGACCCCATAATTAGTCATAGGATTGGTAATTATTATCAGATATTATTAGTTTACTTACTTATTTACGCCTGTTACTCCCAATGGAGCATAGGCTGCCGACCAGCATTCTCCAACCCACTATGTCCTGGACCTTCCTTTCTTGTTCTATGCAATTTTTGTTCATTCTTCTCATGCCTGTCTCCGTTTCTCGGCGTAATGTGTTGTTTGGTCTTCCTCTTCTCCTTTCGCCTTGAGGATTCCATGTGAGGGCTTGTCTTGTGACGTAGTTGGGTGCTTTCCTCAATGTGTGTCCTATTCACTTGCGGTGCTTCTTCCTGATTTCTTCCTCCGCTGGGATCTAGTTTGTTCTCTCCCACAGTAGGTTGTTGCTGATGGTGTCTAACCAACGGATCCGAAGTATTTTGCGTAGACAACTGTTAATAAACACTTATATTATTAGTTTAATCGTCTAAAAGTCGTTCACCAATACATCACTAATCCTAAGGACATAACAAGTTTACATAAGAATTTCTAGAGGAAACCTTTTTGGATAGACAAGATGGCTATATTATGAAACTGTAATGATAACTGCACTTGTTCAATTCATCCAAAGCAAATTTTTCTGACCGATTATAATAAAGAACAGGATACAGATATGATATATATTGCATCAATACAGTTTATATACTGTGTCTAAGTGAAATTTGTTCATGAATTTTCTTTTTTTTGTATAATTCACAAATACGTCAATCCATTGCATAAGATAACAGTGAATTGAAAAAAACTTCTTAATCCTTAGAGCTCTTTCATCCTTGAAACTTGAATAGAAAACGAAAGTATGCCAAAACCTTTATTTTCAAGATTAGTTCATGTATAGAAAACTTTACTGAATAAGCTGTCGAGTCTTTTTAATGTACAAACTCTGCAGTTATGTAGTTTGCATGAGTTCTGCTCGCCGAACCACTTCTGTTATGCAGTCTGTACCATGCTCACCGTCGAAATGTCGAGTCTGAGGCGCGTTGACATCTATAGCTCCGTCGACCTGCCGGGCCATCAAAATCCTACGTAAACCCAGCGCCCGGGACGTTCAGCAGATGCACTCCAGCCACCTGCTGAGCCATCTACATCCGATATCCACCCAGCGGTCGTATGTCCCGCCGCTCCTTTCCGTCGGCAACACCCGCTACAGCCATTGCCTCCCCGCCAGAACACTTCACTCGACGTTAACTCTCCTCACGTTAACCTCCCTTCCCGACCGTAGCTGCTACCTTGACGTGGTGGTCGGGCTTGCCTACCGTAATGACCCAACCAAGCTATATTGGCTAGAACATATGTTCCTGTGGTTTCTACCATGCCAGGCAGGTCGATTGGAGAACTGTAAGACTAAAAGTAGCAACTCTAGGTTTGAGGGCGAAGTCGTACTGTTGACTGTAGAGGGGTGTGACAGCAGTAAGACGCTTCCTTCGGACAACCAACATCTGCAGCGATGCTGCCTCCTCACAAGGAAGGAAGTGATTAAAAAAAGTCGACCCTAAAAATTTCACGCCTCACCTTGCCTCACGGATTTCCGTCTCCGGCGGTATGGCCCTTTGAAGAACGGAGCTAGCACGTTAAAAACCTCCCACAAAAAGGTCGTGCGCGACTGGCCTCAAGCAGATGTCCCTTGGGCTCTGCAGTCACGCTCCCAGGTCGTTGAGACCAACATTAATCCAACTTCCTTTTCAGGTCCCTCAAGAAATACCCTTCCACTGTGTGGGCAGCCAGGAAATGATATCAGCCCTCATACCCGTAACAACACACGGGACCAAGTTGGTCACATTCAAATCCTTCCTACTCACCAGACTATTCTAACCAGAACCTCAGGTCAAGGTCCACAACGGCATACACAAAACAGCACCCTTCCTCCCATCCTGGTTGGTAGCGAAAACAAATGTAGTGAACGAGAATACAAGTGGGGACATTCGAATTTATTTGAACACAAATTTACAGAACGTCGTAGTAAAATCTGAGAAGCATAGAGTAAACAATTCATTTGCAAAATGTCAATTGTCTCACGCTTCACAGTTTCTTTATTTTCACAGCAATCATTCTCTGTTCTCGTTTTCTTCTCTTCGATCTTCTTAGTCTTCTGCCTCCAGGCATTCAACTTTCAATTAGTGGTACATACTACTTATATCTGCCGACATCAGTAGCACACACTACAGAAACAGTTTTCGAGTGTTTCCTTATTTTTAATGATTGTCTAACTAAGATTAGCCCTTCACATGAACTATAAGATTCATATTTGCTAAGTTTTATTGTCAGTTTTTTTTTATTTTAATTAATTATATTCTTTTTTTTTAGAATAATGGATCATCTAGATATACAGACCAAACCATGGGTTTAATTCTTTGCTCAACTGAAAAATTACATCGTTATCAACCTATTGGTCCAAATTCTAAATTACTCGGTTCACGTATAATTCCACATGGTCCGAATCCTTTATTTGTTCATGGACCAAATCCATCATTAGTACATGGTTCAATTTATCAATAAGAATACATCTCTTCTCCTTATTCAATATAACAATGTAGTGTCGGTTACTAGATTAACTTCACATAGATTATTCTAGCTTTGGGACAGGGTAATTTATTCATTGTTCTGGATTCACATCTTGACCTTGTTTATTATTCGCTTATGTAGGTGTATGTGTGCATTTCCTATCTTACTCATCAGATGTTTGTAATTTATTTGTATCTGGCTAAATAAATATTGATTAACGCTTGATTAAATAAGAGTTGGCTCATATATCTTCTCCATTGTGCATCATTTCGTTTCGCTTCATTCACTGCAATTCTCTAATAATCTCCACAACCCCTATACTAGTAATTAACATGTGCTCACTAGTGACTAGCTTCGTGAGGGAATTCTCGGAGTTCTAGTGAGAAGCCGTGATCAGTGGAGCTAATCCTTGTCGGGTAGAGACAGGTATCTACCTCAGTACAATGGAAGTTGGTCGCGCAATTTCGTGGATTGGTTGATGTTAGAAACTATCACCATTGGATGCCGGTTCAGTGGTCCAGTTGGTTAAGCGTTCGCGCGCGAGACCGAAGGCCCTGGGTTCGAATCCCGCTCGCGGGATCGTGGATGCGCGCTGCTGAGGAGTCCCACAATAGGACGAAACGGCCGTCCAGTGCTTCCAGGTTTTCAATTGTGATGGTCTAACATTAATCGGTTCATGATCTCAATCAAAAAAATTCTCTGATTGTTTGTTCCAATCAACGAGTGTATAAAATATACACATTCAAAGATCCATTCTCGTATTTAACTTATTTGATTGCGTTATTCAATAGTTATACAGGAGAATAGCCAATATGTATATCATCTCAACAGTAATCATAAGTGATCTAACTGGAATCAGATTTCAGCCTATTAAAACAATACAGATTTTATTCATTGATAATGAAAGCGTTTATTTATTACTTAAACACATACATTCAATAATGAATACCAGAATCACCATTGTGATATACAACAAATGCTATTTTCTTATAGAGAAACCTTTCATTGGATAACTTTTCTATGTTGGAGACTCTTGGTGACATGGCTCAGAATCGATCACAATGGCGTCAGTGTATACACTCCCTGTCTTCCCTTAAACTAAGAGATTAAAATCACTTCATATCTTTCTTTCTACGAACTAATTCTTTCTTCTTATACTATATCCTTATTGCAACCTTTGACCTAACCACTGTTATGAATCCGGTGTTCATCTTGTCGTGCTAATGAGGTATGGCAACCTGGATCGATGCACATATGTGCCTGGTCCTACGTTGTAGCTGACTGACTTTTCTATGTTGAATTGTTATATCCCGATAAGAATAATGAATGGTAACTATTAGAATCCATTTATAGAGCAATAATAAACGTATATTTTTATCGTATAATTGTTAAGTAATTAAACTACGCTTATTCATGGTGCTCTTATTATAAACTTTCATTTGACCTATGAACTGTTATTATACGATTTATCATTCTTGAGTTATTCTCTGTCAATCAATTACTCTATCTCCATTATTCACAGTCACATTTAGCTAAATCTTGTACAAGTGTTGTTTCCAATTTTATTGGTACAATGTGGTCTGTCTGGTTGGTAATATAAACCTCATAAATGATTCATGTCACAGAGGCTAAAATTGATGTTCTAGATCGAACTGGCTGAGCTAGGCACGAAACAGGACTGAGAAGGACTCTAGACTGCTTGCATGAGTTTTAGGCGTCATTGGTCCGATTGATAATTCACTACTCTCTAATTGGCGGTATCATTACGTTCTACATTAACAAGACACACAGGCCACAAGTTATAACATGAATAGATCTAACATTCTTTAAACTAAGATCAAACAAAATGAATGAGAAGCTTATCTCAATTCAAATAATAACTAAATCTATTTAATTGTGTTTTACTAACAAAACAGTACAGTAGAGTAGAGATAAATGAAAAACCTTTGACTTTCATTCGAATTAGGCATATTCTTTATAAAATTGAAAAAGACGCTTAACAAGAAGGCAAGGTTTCCTCGGTTGAATTTCTTGTTGAAACGTTTTTTTTGTTTTTCTTTCTTTCTTTTTTTTCATTATTACTTATCGTTGTTCAGTTTTGTGTTTATATCCCTTTACCTTCTGTTGTTTGTTTGTTTTTCTCATTAAAATGTTATCGTTTTATTTGTGTGATGCTTATTGTTTTCTGTTGGGATATTCAAGGAAATATCCCAAAAAATTATCCTGTTAAGCCTAATGTTATCCTTGGGCATGAAATAGTATCATCTTATTGGTCAATATTTATTTAACGTGTCATTTTCCTACTGGCCATTATTGTACAATGTTATTTTCTATTTTATGGTACGTTGTGGTCTGTTTGACTGGTATATAAACAAAGTATGTTTGAAATATAATAATTCATATATCCAAGGCTGAGACTTTCGTTCTGGACTCAACTGGCTGGGTTAAACAGGGAAGCGAGATCAATCAGAACCCTAGGTCGTTCTACGTGTTTGTGCGTCTTTGGTCCGATCAATAATTCGCTATCCCTTAATCCGCATCAAATATTTTTCACGTCATAACATTTTCGTTGCCCAATAATTGTGTCAGAATGTATATGTGTATTTAAATAAATAAATGAGGACAATTCACTTGGCATTGTTTGCTTGTATCTACCCATTGTTGTTTAGGACTGCAATGGATCAGTCTCTTATTGATATATATATATATATTCATCCTGTGCGCATCGCCTTAATTCACAAGCATTCTAAGCCCAGCTACTACTAGGGAGAAAAAGCGAGGATTGAGAAAGGAAGTTCATTGGCTAACCAAATCAAAAAGCAACTATACGCTTGATTGATATAACGGGATATAGGCAAAATTACATTTTTAACTCATTCAATATTGTATATACATATCCCTAAGAAAGATAAGCCATTCAATAGCTTATACCTTGTCCATTGTAAAATAAAGCCATTCTTTCACTAATCATGCGCATTTCTCATTAGCGATTTCTGATTGGCCAATCGTTGTATTTAGTGGTTTTAAACTAGTACCTTAACTTCTTCAAATTTCACCAAGAATTCTTGTTATATGAAGTCCTGAAGTTGTGCATTTACGAAAAAAAGTAACATATTTATTTATTCTCATTGAAATGGATCATCCATACATAGAAGAATCAGATGATTCGAATGTTTTTGATAAACACAAACTGAACTTTAAACAAACAAGGTAAATGAGAATGTAAACTGAGATCTTCTGGATTGAAGACAGTTACAAATTGTTGTGACGGTTTCCTAGAATTACGAAAGAGACTCTAGAAGTCCTAAAGTAGCCGAAGAGTTTCCATTCAATCCTAACGTGACAGAACTTTCTAGAATATCGGCATGGCATACTACTACTACTACTGAACAATGGCATAACATGCCTCTTTGAAGATTGGCTGAATTATAATGTTCATATAACAAACGCTAATATCTATAAACACCCATGATTTTCTGTACATTTTGATTCTTACCCAACAAACACTTCTCCAGCTTTCTTCTGATTTGTGACTGTGGGATTCTATACGTTCGAGTGTTGTAGTTGTATACCGTATTCTACATTATTCAAGTAGTGAACATAATACAAACAAGACTGAAGTAACGGAAAAAATCATGCTATATAAATGTATGAAATTGAACTGAATATGATTTTATGTAACAAATTCTGCACTTATAAATCTAACCGGTTTATTCTAGTAGTGCTTTGAACACAATAAAGGATAGAGAAGTACGAGGAGTTTGTGAGACGGTGTGGCTTACATTATGAAGTGACCTTAGTTAATCAGTGAAAATAAAGAAGTACTTAATAGATATTTTATTCTGGTAAGGAATATCCCAGCAGTTTGTGTCCTCAATCCCACTAAGGATTGGATCCAGCACTCTTAGGGTTTGCTGTGTGTTTGACCTATAGATAGCTCAGTCGCCACCCAATGGTAGGGTTTTGGATGTATACAACTGAGACATGTCATATCAAGATGAAAGAGCTGTTCATTGCTTCGGTTTGTCTGATACCAGTTGATGTTGTAGTGTTAGTCATTAGTTTTAGCCCATAATATATCTTATTCTAGTTTCCGGACATTCCATTCTATTCGTTCCACTTGAGTCATGTTTTGACCTTGTTAATTATTCGCTTATTAGCCTTGACTGTTTTCACATGAGCGTATATGTGTGTACACTTCATGTCCTATGACTCATCACATGTCTGTAGTTTATTTTGTCTGCCTATAAAAATTGAGTAATGCTCGGCTTGAATTGGAGTTGGTTTCCCAGCCATCTTCCATACGTGTCAAAATTGCTTTGCTATGGCTCTCGCTCGCTTGCTTGCCTTTCAGCACAACTCTTCTATGCTTGTTTAACGCATCTGTACATTTGGATATATGTGTGTGGTCTCGTAATAAACGTAATCAACACTTCGTATTTGCCTTCTGATTAATATACCGTTGGGACGTTATATAGAACGGTTATCAAGACGAGCTGTATACGAGGTTTAAAGATTATATGAAATACCGACCACCACAATGTAAATTCAGAATGATTAAACATAACACGTCAATGTGGAATTTGGAATTTTACTAAATTAATATATTAGAAGGAATAAGGTAAACTAGTTAATGCCAAAAGTTATTACATTTGTGTAGAATAAAAAAGCTGAATAGATTATAATTGAATTCATATGATCCTTCCATAGATAAACTAACATTTTCTCTACTTAAACAGGCAACACATGATAATCTAAGGTTCCAGAGTTAGTTTTTCGAATCGAAAATATATACAACCCGATTTCTATAGGTATTTGACTTATCATATGACTACTAATCAATCAATTAGTCCATCATTCGTACTACTTAAGGAATGTGATATACCATGATTTATCCAGTATGTAAATGAGATGAGCTGTTGAATTTTCTATTGAAACTTAATCTATTCCCTTGGTGTTGTTTATTGTATCTTACCATTGTCATTTAAGACTACAATTCATTAGTCTCTTGTTAGCATATGGGCATCCTGCCTCAATATTGCTTGAATTTACAAGCTTTATAAGCAAAGATGGATAGTAATCAGGAGAGGAATCCAGCGTGATGTGCGTTTCGTCCTATTTGGGACTCGTCAACCTGATGTACTTATATCTCAGGTTTGATGTTCACTCTGGGACTCGGACCTAGTATCGTTCGCTACAAACGCCATCGCGATATCCATTTAGTTATTGAATCCTGATAGCCTAATTATTAAAATACCTCTTTTCAAGTGGACCAAATATTTAGCGATAAAGTTAAATGCAAGAGAAAGATTATCATATGTCCGTCTCTTGCGATTTCCCGTAGCTGATACACTATCTGAAAGATTGATGATAAAGTGAGTTAAGAAAACTCGGACCTGATAACGTATTTGCGGTTGGAGAGTAGAATTTGAGAACCAGTCATCCACAAGGTAGGACCAGGTACATATATACATCGGTTCAAATTGCCACACCTCATTAGCGTAACAGGGTAAACAACAAATTCGTTGAAGTAGTTACTTCAATGGTAGTAATATGTAGAAGAAAGATTAGTTCGTAGGAAGAAAGATATAAAGTAATTTTAATCTCCTAGTTTAAGAGAAAACAAAGAGTATATACACCTACGCCATTGTGATCGATTCTGAGCCATGTCACACCGAGTCTCCAACCATTGATTACGATAGTCAGGCAGACCCCAACCAAGTAGTCTGTATCTACCAACATGGCTCAGAACAGACGTTAGTGACTTCAAGGACTGATGCCATGTTTTGGTTTGGCCGCCCTCATAACTTTCTTCCAACATGTAACACGTGGCCCAACCATCTCAGACGATGAAGATGCACAACTTCATCAACTGATTTATCATCATTTTCTAATACACTACTTCTAACCTCACTATTACTTACCCGGTGATCCCAACAGATGCTGTCAATATTTCTTAGTCATCTGTAGTCAAAATCTGAAAATATCCATAGACGTTTTGAGTAACTGAATCTGAGATAATACAAGTGAATTATCTACCAAAAAATGTGGAGTACCACATGAAGAAATGATACGATTAGTGTATATTGAGCATTTCAAAGCCTGTATAATCAGTGTATCAATTGTACACACCAATATTTAAATATGTACGTTATAACAGCGGCTTACATTACTTATAACAATCAACCTTCATTCATTTTGTTAAAAAACCGAATCCCACTTCATCTTATTTAACTTGAGCGGTCAGATATTATACTGATAGCCATCATAATTAAAAGGAATGAAAGCCGAGCAAGCGAACTACTGACTAGTTACTTAGTCACGGTTGAAGTTGTTGGAGTTCAGATTTGGCAAAAATGAAACAGTTGTCACTCATAACTATGAATGATAGTTGCGTCACATAGCAAGTTGATTAAAGTTGTAATTATACCACTGGATGCCGACCCAGTGGTAGGGCGTTCACTGCGTGCAATTAAAACCCTGGGTACGGTCAAAGGTGGGAAGAGTTAGCTTCCCTTCTCGAAATGCTCTCACATGAACACATGTATACATCCACTGACAGGGAAGTCCTACTCACCATCTCTCAGCATTACTATTGTTCACGAAATTGAGAGGACGAAAAGTGAATGTTCGGTGCTTTAACCGGGTCGATGGACATGGAGAGTCCATCTAGGGAAGTTCGAAAACCCTCATTTCAAACAAATGGTATACATGCGCTACAGGATCCTGAGGGAAAAAAGGTGTATAAACCTATTCTTTGTCACCGGCTACCATGAGATTGCATCTCCTAACGTTGCTTCATTGCCTTGTAGATTAGACCTTTAGGTGAAAGGTCCGAGGAGTGGCCTTCTAAGAAAACCACCTGCTTCAGTTTGGGCACCTGGGCAGTATCTCAGCCCCCATACAAATCAGATGATGAAGTGTGGCGCATATATATATTTAGTGCCTCCTTGTACCAATCTTTCTGTGTTTAAATAATAATGATCCTTATTGGTACTATAGATTGGCATTGTTGAATACCATATTAGAGCAAAACAACTCTCCAGTGTTCGTATGACGAATATCATCTACGAATATGTAATTAATGAATGAATCAATTTAAATCCAATACTAAAATAGTACATACATAAATACAATGGCTACCTTTTCATATTTATACTCGAAGACTATTGACCATGAGTTACTAACTGCAATGTAAATAGAGTAATATTAATAATATTATCAGTAATAATGATGATACAGGCTTAAGATGACAAACAACACACAAAAAAAAAACAAAAAAAAAAGAGGACTGAAATCCAAATAACCAACTATAGAGAAGTAGGACAGAAAGGTGTATAGAATGATGAATAATCACATTTACAAAAACAAAAAAAACAAGTCCTTTTTTTTAAAAAATTTCAATGATATCCCCTCGTAACAGAAACAATTAACAAGTAGACATCTGAAAGACACCACACACACACACACACATTATCTTCAAAGAACTGCATGAAACAATCAGTCCTTCATTCAACATACAGCAGAATATATAGTTCCATAGATACCAATCATAATATCATACTATTAAGATAAGACAAGAAAAAGGGGAACTAATGATGCTCTTAGCAACAATTGGAAGAAGAAGAAAAAAATAGCAATACGCAAATTGTGAACACAGTAGGAACAGATGAATTATCAAAGTACTTTTTTTTTCTTATTTGTTCATGAATCAATATTATACTGTTTTACAGCAGTTAAACCATCACAACCAATGTTGTTGATTTCTATTTAAGACAGTTGAAATTTTCTAGAATAAAAGTTACTTCTTTTCTTAAATAAAGAATAGAAATAGAAAAAGAAATGAAAGCTTTCTATACAGAACTAAATTGAGTGGGGAAAAAGAAAGAAGAAGAGGAAGATGATTCAACACATACAAGATCATAAAAAAAGAACAAGATGACTATTAATCAGAAGTCAAGGAATAAATGAGCATTGTTTAACATCAATTCAATTATAAGAAACAAAATGGGAACACACATTAAACATACTACTCATTAGAAGTAACAATGAACAAGATTTATTAACATTGTATCGAAGAGAAGAAACAATGAATCCTCATCATCATCATCATCAACAACAACAACAAAAAGACAATTCATCACATACAAGATCTAAAGAAAAGAAGAACAATGTGACTACTAATCAGAAATCAAAGAATAAATGAATATTGTTTAATATCAATCCAATTCAATGTAATGAGAAGAATTCAATGCGAACACATTAAACATGCTATTCATTAGAAGTAACAATGAACAAGATCCATGAATACTGTATTGAAAAGAAGAAACAGTGAATTATCAACAACAACAACAACAAACTTACTTACTTACATCTGTCACTCCTCGTGGAGGAGTATAGACTACCACCCACCAGCACTATTCATCTAACAACAACAAATAAGGTTCATTTATATTCCAACAAGTTTATGAATGAACAAAGAGAATACATAATTCAGTTAAAGATAAGTTTTTACTTATCATTTTTGACAGATAAAACTGAACTAGAGAAGAAGAAGAAGAAGAAGGGAGAAAAGAGAAAAACAAATTGGGAAAATACATATTCAATAAACTTTTCTTTAATAAAAATGATAATAGATATGTGTATATGATAAAGAAAAGAAAGTTCCTTTCCAAATGAATGAATGAAGGTTGTCAACCATATATTCATGTGTATGTATGTATGCATGTATGTATGTATGTATGTATGTATGTATGCATGCATGCATGCATGTATGTATGTATGTATGTATGTATGTATGTATGTATGTATGTATGTATGTATGTATGTATGTATGTATGTATGTATGTATGTATGTATGTATGTATGTATGTATGTATGTATGTATGTATGTATGTATGTATGTATGTATGTATGTATGTATGTATGTATGTATGTATGTATGTATGTATGTATGTATGTATGTATGTATGAATGTATCAAATATGAAGATATACTTTCTTTTTAATTCTAAAATAAATTAGCTACATCCATTGGAAGTTCACTAATTTTTGTACTATAGAATTTTTCTAAATCTTTTAATAAACGTTCATCAGCTAATGTAACAAAATTGATAGCAACACCTTTACGACCAAAACGACCTCCACGACCAATACTATAAAAAAAAATAATAATTAAATAAATAGAAAGGGGGGGGAGGAAAGGAAGAATTAAAAGTTACTTTATGAAAGAGATTAATATAATTATCAATATAGGATTGTGGAGATTATTAATTTATTGATTAAGATCATGAATCAATTGATGTTAGATCATCACCGTCTACTGTTTCTAAGTTTTCAATGATGGTCTAACATCAATCGGTTCATGATATCAATCATCTGCTCACTAGTGACTGACTTCAAGAGATACTCCTGGAGTTCTAGTGAGAAGCAGTGACTAGTGGAATTCAACTAGGTCTGTTGTGAGATATCAGCTTACTGAAGACAATGGTATACAATAGCGCAACTTCGTGGATTGGTTGAAGTTAGACATTAACACCATTGAATGCCGGCCAGTTCAGTGGTCTAATGGTTAAGCGCTTGGCGCGAGACTGATATGTCCTGGGTTCGAATCTCGCGGGGTGCGGGATCGTGGAGGAGGAGGAGGAGTCCCATATTAAGACGAAACGGCCGTCCAGTGCTTCCAGGTTTCACATGGTGGTCTAGCTTCAATCTGTGAAATTAATATAATTATCAAAAAAATTGTACATTTCCCTTCAAGTCGAATGATGGCTTGAAATCATGTTAAGAAATTAGCTTTCGGACTCAACAGTTAAATGTACACTGTATCCCAGTGTTGATATTTATAGGATGTACATATAGTAATAGATATTGATCAATTGTAAGGCTTAATATAAACAACGGGAAAAATTCAAATCTCTATACATATTAAATTATGAGCTATTCCAAACTGATGATATGCAGAGACTTTGTATTTATTTATTGATTTTGTCTGAAAGGTGCTTATGTGAAGGAGTAATACCATACAGCGGAACATAATGTCCAGTAATGTGCTTTTTTTAGGGTAAAATGGAAATAGCTCAACTGATGTTAGCACCTGACTAATGACGATCCACAACCCGATGCTACAGAGGACTATATAGACAGGGTCACAGGAACTTCCAACGGACAAGGTTGGGTGTCCTGTGCTTTCTCGGGACTATAAACCGAACCACAATCCCTACACGGAATTACGTGTGGTTGAAAAGCGAGGTCAAGTCATGTATGAACTAGAGGTGAAAGAGACAGGTGGACTCGACTCCGGCGCCAGCTACCAAAATGATTAACCTTATATCTCCCATAGACAAACAGAAATCTCCTGCTTAAAGTTCTGATGGATACATTCAACGTACCCCCGGTCGCGATGAATTTCATAAATGAACTGACTTGCGTTCCAGAAGGTTGATGAGACAAGGGCGACAAACAGTCAAGATGCAGTTGAATACCAGGAATATACACTAATGAAAATGGGAGTTGTTAGGGATGCTAGATCTCCAGAATGCACTCAGTAAACTTCCTTTTTTGTGACTTAATTGTAAAGACTTTAATTTTACATTTTCGCCACAAAAGCGCCTATTATTACTTTCAGTTTGTTTCCCACCTGAAAGGAGCTTAAACGTCATTGGTTTGTTTCATCTTTTAGTATGTAATTTTGTGACACTTTTCAATGACATTTTTGTTTTGTATATATTACGCCTGAGTTGAGTGCTTGTTATTCGTTCTTCCGGGTTGCTTTTAAAATTATATACCTATTCTCTGTTGATTCTGGTATTCTTTCTCTAGTTAGCAGGGTTGATGTGCAGACGAATGTCTCATCATCGTCCTGTTAGTGTTGTTGGATTACATTCCGTTTGCCAGTTTAAGGTGAGATCTTAGTCCCTCGAACATAATAGTAATAGACTCGTATTATGTATATGGTTAAAGTTGAGTTTCTATACCTAACATGAAAACTGGTTAACTTTGCCTATAAACTATCGAAACAACGATGAGATGTAGGTTGGCATGATAAACTGATCAGAAATAACTTTTTCTGCCATTCCAAATTGAATGCTGGATTATAAGAGCTCCAGTAATCGTTGCAATGAAGTGCATAAATATTCTGGAGAGACAAATGAGTTTTTTTCACCGAATGATTTTCGTATTCAAGGCATAAAAAGCAATAACTAACATAAAAAGTTAATTCTTTAAGCATACACTTTATTTTTGTTCCATATTCTAACTTCCCAAAATGTGGTCATCAAAATAGGGCACATTCGTAAGTCCCTAGTATTTGGTTATGAATACCTGAGAAGTATCGCTTTCGTACTATGGGACCATTGTGTAAACAATATTGAGGTTAGACAAAGAGTATTAGATAAATATAGATAATAGGCAGGTAATATTGTTAATATTCGACAACTAACGTGATTAGTACATAAATTACATATACCCAACGATTGCCTATAACAATCTGCTATGATAATTAGTATAGGAATAGGTTTAAAAGAAACTAAAGTTATAAAAATCAAGGAGTCATATCAGTCAACAAAATTACTGATTATCGGAATAAGCTGAGTAGGAATATGTAAACTCCCCAGTTGGAGATTTTAAGTGACATAACACAGAATTAGTCACAATGGTGCAGATGCATTCACTCTTTGTCATGGATACTATTGATGTTTCTACTAATTTGATATTTGTGTTTATACAGTGTAGCATCTAGAACCGATATATAAACGTGCCAGTTTCTACAATGCTTATAACCTATTGACTAATTCTATATTACAAATAAATTTCTTATACGATTCGCAGTGTTTTTGGTTTTGATTTGATTTGATTTGAACACACAAATATTGGTACAAAGGAGCACCAAATATATATACATCACACAAGTCACTTGATATGTGTATAAGCTGTGATACTATTAGGGTGCTCAGATCGAAATAGGTGGTTTTCTAAGGGGACCATACCCGGAGCATTCGATCTAAAGGTCTGATCCACAATGCAGTGGAGTAACATCAGATGCAATCACATGGTAATCGGTGAACAACATTTAGTTCATACACCATTTGTCCCTTCAGGATACTAGAGCCCATGCATACACCATTGGTTTGGAATCGGGGTTTTTCAACTCCCCTAGATGGATCGTTCATATCCACCAACCCGGTCGATGCATCAGATATTCGCTTTTCGTCCTCTCAATTTTGCAGTATTATTAATAATAATAATAATAGTATAATATTCACTTACCGATGTATATAACTTTCTAAATTTGTTGGTAAATCAAAATTAATTACCAATGAAATTTGTTGTACATCAATACCACGTGATAATAGATCAGTAGATATTAGAATACGACTTGAACCACTTCGAAATGCTGTCATAATATTATCACGTTCTATTTGTTCCATTTCACCATGCTAATGAATTATTGAATATAAAAGAATCATACATAAGATAAATAAAACATTGAAAGTTTAGTTAAATAAACTGTAATATTGATTTCAGTTGATGATATTTTATTCTAACTCCGACTGTAGCTCTTCTAGGGTTAATGCTAATCACAAGCCCATACAAAGGAGGAGGATTGGGGATAAGGTCGGCAACCTCATCTTATTAAATATAACCTTGCTAAAAAGAAAACGCTAACCAGAATAAAAAATATTTTATTTTAGTATTGACTGTGAAACAATCGAGTTTAAGTTTCTATAAAGCTATAAAGCCCCCAAATGCCCTGGTACGGCTGAGGATGAGGAGAAACAGTTCTCTCTCTCTCTCTCTCTAAATGCTCTCATATGACCATGTTTATACAGCCACTGTCAGGAAATTCCTACTTATGGCCTTCTAGCAGCATTACTGTTTTTTACGAAATTGAAAGGACGAAAAGCGAATGTCCGGTGCTTTAACTGGGTTGGTGGATATAAAGGATTCATCTAGAGGGGTTGGAAAACCCTGGTTCCAAATCAATGGTGTACATGGGCTCCAGTATCCTAAGGAAACAAATGGCGTATGAACCAATCGTTGGTCACCGACTATTATGGGACTGCACTTCATAACATTTGACTTGTCACGTTCCAAATGCTTCTGGCAAAAATTCTAATGAATGCTGATTGGATAAGATGTTTCTCAGCATTTTCAGATGAGTTTTCTGAATTTCCCCAACATTGAGAACGAATGTAAGACTACCATTTTACAAGGTATATTTCTATTTGTAAATCAAATGGCCTAGTGGTTAAGTCATCAGTAAGTCTCAGTTTCCAGATACCCAACCGTTGTTGCTACCTTGATGTGATGATCGGGCTTGCCTATCGTGATGAAGCAACCGAGCTACACTGGCTGGAACAACCGTTCCGAAGGTGAAGTCGTACTGCTCACTGTACAGAAATGTGACAGCAGTAAGCTGTTTCCTTCAGACAAACAGCATAACAGCGATGTTGCCGTCTCACAAGGAGGGGTGGAGTTAGAAAAGGTCGACAATAAAAATGCACACCTCGCCTTATCCCACGCATATCCGTTTCCGGCGGTAAGGTCTCAACGAGTACGGAGCTAACACGAAAATTACTCACAAAAAGGTCGTTGGTGACCGACCTCAAGCAGTTGTCCCTTGGGCATTGAGGTCATGCTCCCAGATCACTAAGACCACCTCTAATTCAATTTCCTTTTCAGGTGCCTCCAGAAGAACCCTTTCACGGTGTGGGCAACCGGGAAGTGACAACCGCCCTCATACCTCTAACAGCACTCAAGACCACTGAGTTTCCAGATAGATAATATTTACATGTAGTATATTACAATAGTCTAAATTACCATAAAATGAAATGTGAATTATGCTTACCATTGCTGATACAATAAAATCACGTTCAATTAATTCGTTTGTTAACCATTCAACTTTTCTGCGTGAATTACAAAATATTACTGCTTGTGTTATTGTAATTGATTGATATAAATCACATAGTGTTTCTAATTTCCATTCTTCTTGTTCAACATTAACATAAAATTGACGTATACCGTCTAATGTTAATTCTTCTTGTTTTAATAAAATACGTACTGGATTACGCATAAATTGTTTTGATATTTCTAATACTTCGTCAGGAATTGTTGCTGATAATAAAATAATCTGAGAAAAAGAGAAAAAAATATATCAGTAGGAGTTTTGTGAAGGTTGTAGTAATTTCAATGGTTGAAATTATGGAAGTACTGGACAGCCGTTTCGTCCAACTGCGGGACTCCTCAGTAGTGTGCATCCACGACCCCACCTCGCGGGATTCAAACCCAGGACCTATCAGTCGCACGCGCGAGCGCTTAACCGCTAAACTACTGACCCGGCCAATATCCAACGGTGTTAATATCTGACTTCAACTAATCCACGAAATTGAGCGACATATCCACTATTGTCATCAGTGAGTTACTATCTCACGACAGGCCCGGTTGAAACCTACTGGTCGCTGCTTCTCACGAGAACAAAATATTAAGAAGTACACGTAAGAAAACAAAATGGTAAAAACATGGATACAGAAATGAACCATTCAAAAGTAGGCTCTTAAATGCCTTTGTGCGGCCGAAGGTAAGGAGAGCCAGCTCTTCCACTCTCTCTCTCCCGAAATGCTGTCATATGGCCACGCGTATACAGCTACTCAAAAAGAAGTCCTTCTCACTACCTTCTCGCGGTATGAATGTTGTTCACGAAATTGAGAGGACAAAAACTGAATGTTCGATGCTTTAACCGGGTTGGTAGAGACGGAGGATCTATCTAGGGGATTGGTGAACACTAATTCCAAACCAATGGTGTACATGAGCTCCAGAATCCTGAAGGAAGAAATGGCATATGAACCAATTATCGGTCACTGGTGTTGAGGATGTTAGATCCCCAGAACTCACTTGGTAAATACCTTATTTTTGTTATTCTATTTTGAAAATTTGAGTTTCTTGTTTTCACGCCAAAATCGCTTTTTCAATTTCATGTCGTATTTCCCACTTGGGAGAATCTTAAACGTTATTGGTTCGTTGTATCTTTTAGTATGCTATTTTGTAACACTTCCTAATGACAATTTTATGCTGTATATCTACGTTTGATTTGTGCTTGTCGTGGTTCTTCAAGCTTCTGGCTGCTTGCGAAATATATTTCCCCGTTTCGAACTTGAACTTCTCTCTCTAGTTAGTGGGGTTGGGACGCATCATAATAGCTAGCTTATTGGTCTTTGATCAGAGTTTTTGTTCCGTTCGCAGAGTAGGTGAACTCGTAATCGCTTCAAATATAACAACTGGCTACCATAGGACTGCATCTCCTGACGTTGCTCCACTGCCTTGTGGACCAGACCTTTGGATCGAAGGCTTCAGGTATGACCCCCTAAGAAAACCACTTACTTTGGGTCTGGGTATCCGGGAAGTATCATAGTCCTCACTCAAATCGAATGATTTGTGCGATGTATATCTGTTTTGTACCTCCTTGTACCAATGTTTATGCGTTTAAATGAATAAATAAGAATAATTATTATGGAAACTACAAGGGAGAGTTGAATCTCCTCACTCTCAACCATAACAATGCATTTGGAGGTTAAATGAAGAGCAACTTGTTTTATAGAAATTATGTGTAAATTGAAAGATTTGTTTATTTAGCAATTAAATTTTTCACTAAAAAGAACTTTTTTAACAAATATCAAAATATAAGATATAATAGAAGTATATATTAAAAGAATGAATATATAAAAACTCGAACAACATCATCTGTAAATGGATTTTGTGTTGATGATGTTGTTCAGAAGAATGATGAAAGGTCCACGACCAAACAATCCAGCTCAAACAAAGAAACTTCATTAAAATCATCCACCTGAACTCTTCTCCACCATCTCACAATTAACAATGTTTAACTGTTCTACTAATTGAAACTTTCACATTATTAACACTACATCCTGTTTATTTTGATGTCATCTAGTAACAATTTAGTTGTAAGGATCAATAAAATGATCCTAGGTAACATATATAATGTTGTAGTGGCCCTATCCTAACTTCTGAAGAGAATAATCGTTTCGATTTTCGCAGCAATTTTACACGCCTATCCTTTTGATCAGTGTTAGGAAGATATAGGACAAATAGTTGATGGTCGAATGTAAAATCATCATAAGACTGGTTACGTATCACTTGCTCCTGTGAGTAATCATGAGCTTTTACTTGCGCACATATATACGTATCAGTCAGTCAGTCAGTCAGTCAGCAACAACCTAGAACTTCGTACGTATGTACATCAGTTCAAGTTGCCGTACCACATTGCCACACAGATACATTTGTCGGTTCAAATCCCTTAGTAGCAGAGGTAGTAAATATATGATCAGTAATTGGAAATATTAGAGTTTGAAGATGTTATTCAAGGAGTATAATCCAGTGAAATAAATTTGGAAAGAGAAAAAACAAACGAACATGAAGAATTCAGAAGATTAGAACTTGGGAGAACACAAAGAGTGGATGCACCTGCGCCTTTGCTAACGATTTTGAACCATTTCATTCAAGGTCTTTAACCATCGATCGCTATCGTCTCGCGGATCCCAACCAAGTAGTCTACACCTACCAACATGGCTCAGTCCACTTGTCAGTAAATTCATGGATTTGTACCATGTTTTGGTCTGGTCGCCCCTAGCTTTCTTCCAACCTACTCTCACACCATAAAACATCGCACATCGAGGCAGTCGGTGGTTGGGCATACGTAACACGTGTCCCAGTCATCTCAACTGATGAAGTTTCATTATTTATCAATTGGTTTGCCATCCTTACCTGGTGCCTCTCTCCTAACAACTGCATTAATTACTCGATGGTCCCAGAATATACGAGCGATGCTCCGAAGACACCTATGATCGAATACTAGTAACCTACAAATATCCTCTACTCTTACCGGCCATGTTTCACAGCCATTAAAGTAGGACGGAACGAACTGCTGTACAGAAAACTCGTCCTTTAGTTGACTTATATACGTATATGAATGCTTGAACATAGATAGGTCTGCTAATTGAATATAAGATCCAATTTTCTAGTCACTTCTAATAGCCTCTGACTAAATCTACACAGTAACGTGATTAAAGAGAAAAGGAGCGAAGTGCGAGAATCAAAGACTGATGATAAGAATTTATTTGACTGCTGATACAAATCAAAATGATTTAGGAATGCACAGCGTCTGATATTATTTAGTTCCACTTAGATTAACAGTCAGAATTCTTCTTAAGATGTGAATCCATGTCACAGATGATTGAAAACAAAATCAATTATGTATGTCATTCGCACTCCAAATGATTCAGTTGTTACTGGTCATGTAATAAATGTTTATGTAATGGTCTTGTACTAAATCTAAATACTAGACTATGGTTAAAGACAGTTTTTATAGTTATACGCAATAACCTACATATACTTGACATTTACGCATTCATACCAGTCATTTGTGCTTGAGGACAAGCTTGTTTGAAATATACCCCTATCTAATAATTGTTTATTATTACACAGGAGATAAGCCCAACAGTCAAAGTGCTGAAGTCGATTCATCGTTAAAAAAGGAATCTAGATAAGTATTCGTAATAACGATAGAGAGAAACCGATAACAAGCAAGCAACCAACACCTGTAATCTGCATACAATAAATGATAATTTAATAACAGAATCTCAAACTACTTGTGCATTATTCAGTAGCATGAAAATATGTTCATAAAGTAGCGCGTGAAAAACAGTACAATGAGACAAGTGGGCGTAAATTTTCCACGCAAATAGTAACCATGACAGTGCAGAAAAACAATGATCGCCAGGATATACACAAATGAATAGTTATATAAAACTGGTTTCCGTTTGATTGATTTAAACAGTGAAAAAATCTATTACAAAAGTTCACTTTATCGATGAAGTCATACAAATCATATTGAAAGGGAAAGATTGAAATTTGATCTAGAAAGTCTTATTCAGTATCAGATTCGAACTATAACACTTACAGACTACCTGGTATATAATGATGGACTGGAAATTAGACTTTTCGTGTAACTTATTCATTATCGTGCTAATAATAGAATCTGTTAATCATAAGAGAATTGCTTAAAGAACTTGATGTGGCATGGTCGCCGGTGACAACCGGTATTCCCAGCCTGTCACCCAAACTAGTACTGATCGGGCCCAACGTTGCTTAACTGAGGTGATCGGACGAGAACCGGTGCGCCATCACAATGGCATCGATGTATACACTCTTTATCTTCTTTTAAAGCGTGAGATTAAAATTACTTGATACTTTTACTTCTAATTCTTTCTCCCTGTATTATATTCTTATACACAATCTTTCTTTTATATATTACTACCATTGAAGTAACTACTTCTATGAAATTGGTGTTAATCTTGTTGTACTAATGAGGTATGGCAACTCGGACCGATGCATATATGTCCCTGGTCCTACGTTGTAACTAACTGACTAAAGAACTTAACATCCAGTTGTCGGACGGTAGGTTCAAACCTTCCTCCAATTATTTAAACTGACAAATAATGAAGTTATCAATAATAGTTAGATTTTTAACTTAAACCATTAATTGGGTTCTGAGAAAGCGTAATTGGATGTAAGGTTTTACTCTGTAAACTTATCAAATCAGTTTTGATTTACACCAACCACTAATACAAGAATACTGAACTAATGTTGGTTGTGAGACAAGTAAATGAGAATACCAGTCAAATTCTACGTACAAAGATGATAACATTCTGTCATTTCACCGCCAGATATAATTAAAATGCAACAACTGAAAAAATAACTGTATAGCTTTTTTAAGATGACAATCAAAAATGTAAAGTCATATTTATCGTTCTATATGCTTCATTATCATTCCTACTTAGTACATCACTTTTTATGTAATAAGCCTTACTATATGGGTTAAATATCGATTACGATAGCAATTCATGCTACTTCGAATCTCCATGGTAGAAATATTCGCATTATACCTTATTTTGTTCATTTTTTTTCAGTGCCAAATATACCACTAATCAATTGAAGATGACAGTGTCAACCAATAGGTTCTAACTTAGCAGTTTAACGTTATTAATAATCGCTACGTGCCAAAACTTTCCTGCGGCAAATTACTTGCCGAATACAGAGTGATATACCCTATTTTGAACCACTATACCTTTAAGGCTTAATAATAATAATAATAATAATAATAATAATAATAATAATAATAATAATAATAAACTTACTTGAACAGCTGGATCAAGTGATCGGAATATATCTTGAATTTGATCTTTAAATCCTAAACTAAGCATTTCATCCGCTTCATCCAATACAAAACATTTAATTGTCTTTGTACGTAAATAACCACGACTAATCATATCGAAAACACGTCCAGGTGTACCAACTACAATTTGTTGACCTAACTTTAACTGTTCGATATCAGTTGATACTTGTGTACCACCGATGCAAACATGACAACTAATATTCATATAATCACCAAGTGCTAGAACAACCTATTTACAATAAAGAAAAACAAAGTAATAACTTTCAGTTATGGGGAGTTTTTGGGGGATTGTTGAATACTATCGAAATCATCAATTAACCTCAGTTAAACAAACCACTGAAAACAAGAGAGCAGTGCACAGCTTTTTTTCTTAATGTGGAATACCCCTAGCACTGGTTGCCTAACTCTATAAGACTGATTCATGATCTCAACGACAATAATTTGCCAAGGGGGAAAATAAGGAAGAATTAGAAAATCTATTAATATCTGGGTTGAATAATATTGAGATCGATTACGTTGTCACTATAAGTAGATGTCAGTGGAATGAATGATAAAACTCATGGTTTATTTCACTAACTGGTTTGTAGAAACAATGTAAATACAATTGCTTTTAACGTAAAATACAGATTGAACATCAAATAGATATGAGTTACAGTTTGATACTGAATTTGTATGAGGGTTGGGATATTGCCCTAGGTGCCAAAAATGAAGTAGGTGGTTTACTTATGAGGGGAAAACTTCAGAGCCTTTGAATCAGTGGACACGGAGAGTGCAACTAGGAAATATGGGAAACCCTGGTTCCAAACTAATGGTGCACATGGGCTCCAGGATCCTGAGGGAACCAATGGCATATGAACCAATCGTTGGTCGCTGGCTAGCATCAAACTACATCTCCTGACGTTGCTTCACTGCCTCGTGGGTTAGACCTTAAGGTCAAAGGTTCTGGGTGTGGCCCCCTAAGAAAACCACCTGCTTCACTCTGGGTACCCTGGCAGTATCACAGCCTACACACAAATCAGGGGACTTGTGCGGCGCATATGTATTCGGTGCCACGTTGTACCAATGTTTATGTATTCAAATAAATAAATCGCTATGAGGTATGTATCACACTTTTCAAGTCATTATCTAACTCAACATCTCAATGGTAGTTAGCATAAAAATATGCGTTAGAGAAAGGCCAGTAGTAGCAAAACGAAAGCATAACATCAGTTTATAAACTCATTGACTGGTGAACTGTAATATGTTAGATGTAAACCACCTTGTTAAGGGCTCTGATGATTGTAATGAATGGATGGAAATTTTAGGTGCCACGGATCATAATCAGTTACAAAGGTGATGTATTCACATTATAGATTTAGAATTTTCGAATCCAGGTTGCTGCACTACATTATTACAGAGAGATGAAATTGTTAAGAAAAATGTCGGAGTAGTTGTAAAGATATGATTTGAGGGGAAATAATTAAGTTGTTGCAAAAAGAGGATAATTTAAAAACTCAAGATATAAGGCTAAGTAAAGAGTGAATGCATTTACTCTATTGTGACCGATTTTAAACGAGGTCACGAAGAATTAACAGCTATCGGTTACGAAGATTAACTGGGACCTCAAGCAGGTAGCACGCGTTCCATTTACACGGCTCAGTCCAACAATCAATAACTTAGTAGACTAACGTCAATTTTTTATTAGCCCGCTTCTAACTTTCTTCCAACTTATTACTACCTTAGACAGCATCGCGAACAGAGATAGGCGGAGATGCAGTCTCATGGAAGCCGGTGACCAACAATTGGTTCGTATACCATTTGTTTTCACGCAGGATACTGGAGCCCATGTGTATCATTGGTTTGGAATCAGGGTTTCCCAACTCCCCTAGGTTGATGCTCCATGTCCACCAACCCGGTTAAAGCGCCGGACATTCACGTTTCGTCCTCTCAATTTCGTAAACAACACCCCCGCCACGAGAAGGCAGTGAGTAGGACTTCCCTGTCAGAGGCTATATACGCGTGGCCATATGAGAGCATTTCGAGAGGGAGAGCGGACTCTCCCCACTCTCGGCCGTACCAGGGCATCTGGGGATTTTTTAATGGATGATAGCTAGCCATGGAGTCCAGGACTCACATTTCGTCTTATTTGGGACTTGCCAGTTGGATGTACCTGGATTCTAGAGTTGATGTTCACTCCAGGACACGAACCCAGTACCGTTCACTTCAAACGCCATCGCGTTATCTATTACCCTATGGTTCCATTATATGTGAGTAATGCTTCGAAAGCATCTATGATCAAATACTAATAGTGCCAAGTTGTACAACAGTAAGGCAGAGCAGTGTACTGGTGAGCAGTAAACTCATCCTTTAGTTGGAAGACGAAGATAACAGTAATAATAATGAATAATTCGCAAATTACCATTTGAATTTGTTTCGCTAATTCCCTAGTTGGAACCAGTACTAAAGCTTGACAACGCGGATCATTCGTGCAGATTTGTTGTAAAATGGCAATACTAAATGTGGCCGTTTTCCCGGTACCCGACTGAGCTTGAGCTATAACATTACGTCCTTCAATTGACGGAATTATGGCTCTTTGTTGTATTGCAGAAGGTTTTTCAAAACCATATGCAAAAATTCCACGTAAAAGATTTTCTTTTAAATTCATACTATCAAATGAATCACATACATTGTTATAGTGGCTGTTTATATCGTTGTCCGGCTCCATCTACATATGAACAGTAAAGAATAGGAGTATAAAATGTAGGCAATACAAACAAATGACAGTTTATAACATGACGAAAATAGTATATAAACTAAAAGAATTATATAAAAATGATCACAATATTGGTTTAAAAAGGCGTGGGATAAAAAATACACCAAGAAATGTTCCATATTAAATGAAAGGTTATTATTATTAAAGATGGTACAAAACATAAATCGATAGTGTGAATTTTTATTGACCGATGTGGTTTGGACATGCATCACCTATCCCTACCACCTCTTATCGTCACGCACGATAATGGCTGATGTAGGAGTAATTTGGAAGTTAGAGATAGCCAAACCAAAACGTGGTATCAGTCCGTGAAGTCATCGACTAATAGGTTGAGCTGTGCAGACTACCCGGTTGTAGTACTCGTAATTTTCGTAACCAATGGTTAGACTTTGGACTAAAATTATTTGCAATGGGGTAGATGTATGCGCTCTGTCTTCTCAGAGATCTTAAGTAACCTAATAACCTTATATATTTATTATTCCACGAATGCATATTTTCTTTCTCGAATTATATCTTCTACACATAATATTTTCTAGTATCATTAATACTGTTACTGTTTGCACTACTACAGGATCACGCTGCTTTAATATGATCAAAACTTGAAGCAATCAGTATGGGTCAGATTCTACATTGTGCATGAGTGGTTGAATATATCATATCCTAAGTACGCTGGGACTGGTTGGAAGAAGCGGAGAGGTGGTCAGTGCATAACATGGTGTCGTGGCATGAAAGAAAGCTGCAAAGGGCTGGCTTCCGTTGGTCCTTCACGACTCCCTGGTTGGGGTCTGAGAGATGGTGCTACACAGTGGCTAGAGACGTTATCAGATATGGCTCAGAATAGAAGCCAGTGGCGATCCTGCTGTAACCTTCTTTTACTTTCTTCATAAAAAGTGGTTGTGTCTCCCTTACCTGAAAGATTTCTTCTGATTGTACCTTTCCGTTCCTTCATTTCTACCATACTACCTTACACCAATCTCGTTATTGTTCTCTTTTTTTGCGCTCCTTAGCTTTTTTTTCTATTTCTATTCGAATTCTCATTGTTTTGTGTGGCGCATATATATTGGCGCTCTCTTGTACCAATATTCATGTGTTCAAATAATAATGATAATAATAATAACAGATTCATGAGGTAGGTACTCATGGAAAACAATCGACTAACAGCTTTTTAGTGATGAGCAGTGAAGTTATAAGAGATACAGAAGGAATTTTCAGTCATTAGCTGGCTTGAGAAAGATAGTAAATGGTCAGTTAGAGTATTGTCGAGATAATTGACAATGTGATAAGGTTTTGAAGACAGTTGGTTAAACGAAAAACTAGTGGTTTGCTTAACTGGCTAGTCGATAATCTAGAACCAGGATGAATTTATTAAAATTTCTACTATGTTACACAAACTATCGACTTTATGTTTAGAGAATATATAAATCATACTCTTTTATGTATAGCAACTTTTACAACCAAACAATATAATATTATTGTAACTCAACAACAACGTATATGTTTGTGAACTACGCCACCACCAACACTTACACGACTACCTTCCCGGCTACTTCCAACTGTTAAATACAAAGAGTGAGTGTCCCAGAGGCTCCTGTCCATCTTTTAAGGTTGGCAGGGAGTGGAGACATGAGCAATACATCTACAACCAGAACGAAAACCAACTTGCTCCTCCCGAGTTGATCTTTAACGAATGTTGAACGAACTGCGAAGTATGCATGAGACCAATAAATTGGATGCAATAAGAAGTAGACTTGTCCCCCTTTTAAAAACAGGAACGACTGTTATCCTATTTTAGGATGTTTAGGCATAATCTAATTCCCAAACTTATACAAACAACTCGTTAAGTTCCTTAACCAGAACATGGAAACTTTCCTTAAAAAAAGCCGTAGGTACGTTATCTAAGCCTGGTGACCTATAGAGCTTCAGAAATTAGAGTTACGTGTAGTTTCTCCTCGCTGGGTGGATCAGCCATCACCAGCTATGGACGACGAAATAGTCCGATCGATGTCACTGAGGCGGCAGACCACCTGAATTAATCTTTGAAGAACTGTGCCCATCGTCCAAGATGTCAGCAAATGCCATTGATCAACATTTCGTCAGCTTTACAAATTTTCTCTCTTACTCTTCTCTGTCCCTAGACCCATAACCTGAGTAATTAGATCTCCAGATATCACTGATTTATTTATTTGAACACATGAATATTGGTACAAGAGAGCGCCAATATATATGCGCCACACAAAACAATGAGAATTCGAATAGAAATAGAAAAAAAAGCTAAGGAGCGCAAAAAAAGAGAACAATAACGAGATTGGTGTAAGGTAGTATGGTAGAAATGAAGGAACGGAAAGGTACAATCAGAAGAAATCTTTCAGGTAAGGGAGACACAACCACTTTTTATGAAGAAAGTAAAAGAAGGTTACAGCAGGATCGCCACTGGCTTCTATTCTGAGCCATATCTGATAACGTCTCTAGCCACTGTGTAGCACCATCTCTCAGACCCCAACCAGGGAGTCGTGAAGGACCAACGGAAGCCAGCCCTTTGCAGCTTTCTTTCATGCCACGACACCATGTTATGCACTGACCACCTCTCCGATTCTTCCAACCAGTCCCAGAGTCGGCAAATAATGCACGACGTGGAATTCTCTGGGACGACATTCGGAGAACATGTCCAAGCCACCGAAGTCGGTGTTTCAAGATGGTGACACCAATTGAATTATCATCTCTGTGCCCGAACACACGATGCCGAACCTCTGCATTACTGACATGGTGTTGCCACTGAATGTCAGCAATCCTTCGGAGACAGCGATGATCGAACACAGAGAGTCGTCTAACGTCCTCAACTCGGAGAGGCCAGGTTTCACAAGCATAGAGCAAGACTGCTCTCACCTACGCGTTGTAGATCCGACCTTTTACAGCCAGACTAACATCACGAAGGCGCCAAAGGTGGCCCAGATTGGCATAAGCCGCTCTGGCTTTCACTATACGTGCATTGATCTCATCACTCACACACCCACCAGCACTTATGCAGCTACCCAGATACACGAACTTCTCGACTACGTCTATCTGCTCACTATCCAGGGTGAGTACAGGACTAGAATCCTGCCAGTCTTGTAGAAGTACTTTGCACTTCGAAGGTGCAAAGCACATACCATACCTACAGACACTGATTGCCAACTGATTAAGTGCGGATTACATGCCTTGGGCATTATCGCACAGTAAGACAATATCGTCCGCATACTCAAGGTCGAGAAATCTTTCTCCAGGCAACAGATCTAGACCACCATTACTTACATCCATCAGAGATGTTTCGAGAATGTCATCGATGGCAAAGTTGAAGAGGAATGGTGAGATTGGGCAACCCTGCCTAACCCCACTGCTCGAATGGAACAATGGAGAGAGGTGGTTGTATGCCCTCACTCTGCCTGAAGTGTTTGTATATAGGGCTTTTAGGATGTTAATAAACTTCTCAGGCACACCCTTCTTCAACAGACAATCCCAGAGAACAGTCCTATCCAACGAATCGAAGGCAGCCCTGATGTCAAGAAACACTACGATTGTTGGCCTTTGATAAGTATGGCGGTGTTCTAACATTTGGCGGAAGGTAAATATATGATCAATACATCCTCGACCAGAACGAAACCCAGACTGCTCCTCGCGAGTCAATCTTTCTCGGGTTTTGAACAACCTACGAAGTATGACGGAAGCCAATAGCTTGAATGCAATCGGAAGTACACTTATCCCCCGATAGTTGTTACTGGAACGACGTGAACCCTTTTTAAAGATAGGGACAACTATCGACTCATTCCATGACGTTGGTACACTCTCTAGTTCCCAAACCTTTGTAAACAACGTCGTCAACTCCTTAGTCAAAAAGTCACCACCATCTTTAAAAAGAGCCGGAGGTAAGTCATCTGGGCCAGGTGATTTGTAACGCTTCAAGAGTTGGAGTTCCTTGCGGACTTCCTCCTCGTTTGGTGGATCAGTCGTCACCGGCCATGGAGGGCAGGACAGTCTGACCGATGTTGTCGGAGCAGCAGGCCAGTTGAACTGCCCTTCGAAAAATTCTGCCCATCGTCCAAAACGTCGATGGATGTTAGTGATTGGCATCTCACCACAAATGAGATATCACTGAAATATCTTTCAAACTTGTTTCTTTGATATAATCTTTATTATTTATTTTAACACAGATATTGATACAAGGAGGCACCAAATACATATGTGCCACACAGACCTCACTTGATATTTGTGAGGGCTGTGATACTGCCCGTGTGCCCGAATCTGGCCACAGCCTAGTGCGGTCTAGATGACTTGATTAAGATGTTGCAGTGGGTTGTGCTCGAGTTGTGGCTTAATGACATAATCTTAATTAGTGGCAGAACTCATATTTAATTGTACTCCGAGTGTAATATGTCGGGGCGTAGACTGAGATTACGAGATGTCGTTTTCTATGCCAGTATCACCTTGGTGGAGCTTTCTAACGTAGCAACACATGAACAACTACCGATGGGAATTTAATTGATTCGTGCTGCCTCTGTTCTTGTGCTTTGTTCGACACCAATACCAACCAAACAATCAGTCAGTCAGCTACAACGTAGGACCAGGCACATATATGCATCGGTCCAAGTCACCACAACTCATTAACACAACAAGATGGACACCGAATTCATATAAGTAGTTAATTCAAAGGTGGTAATATATAAAAGAAAGATTGCAATAAGGATATAGTACAGGAAGAAAGAATTAGTTCATAGAAAGAAAGATATGAAGCGATTTTAATCTCTTAGTTTAAGGGAAGACAGAGAGTGTATACACCTACGCCATTGTGATCGATTTTGAGCCATGTCACACAGAGTCTCCAACTATTGGTTACGAATCACGCGGACTCCAACCAAGTAGTCTGCATCTACCAACATGGCTCAGACTAGAAGTTAGTGACTTCAAGCACTGATGCCACGTTTTGGTTTGGCCGCCCCTAACTTTCTTCCAACCATCCCAACCAAACAGGACAAAGGTAAAACAAGGTCCCCAAATAAGAGCACATGAAACAAGTTTATGAGAATCGAAAGATGAAGAGAGAGTTTTATGAAAGTCTTGAATGGTGATCTCAGAGATATGGCAGACAACGATACCAAGACTTTCTAGACCGGTCATTCATTCAGACGCAACGTAAGACCTGGGACATATGGACATAGATTCAAGTTGCCAACCCATTTGCACAGCGATATATATATATATATATATATATATATATAGTAGAGGTAGTAACAGTACTGATAGTAGCAGAAAAAACTAGGCATAGAAGATACGGTACCGAAAGAAAATATGGATCGGTGGAATAAAAATAAGTTAATTTAGGAATTCCTAATACAGAATAGATGCATCTGCGACACTGTGGACCATTCTGAGTTCGGTCACCTCAAGTCTCTAACTATTGGTTATGATAACCACGAGGATCGCAACCGGGTAGATTGCACCTACTCAAATGACTCAGTCTAAAGACATAAAAACCTATCTGTTATGCGATTTGCACCAGTGTGCAAACGTTTAATGAGACCAGCTTTAGTGGCAAAGGTGGCTTCAGAAAGTCTGACTCGGATTCTGTATTTGATGGCAGCATTAGGAATTTCGGCCGGTCACGGACTTGAGACAGCACAGAACATTCACCACGAATGACCTGCTGGGTGACTTGGAAAACAGAATTAAAAGAATATAAACAAAAACTAATCAGGAAGGTGATCTAATGTAAGATAACTTTAAGTGCCAGACAGGTTAGTGGTTAAATCACTCAAACTTCAACAATTTGATGTTCCAGAACCCTGTCAATCTTCTTGATTTCAGCAACCGTATGTGAGAATGCGCTTGATTCTCGACTTGTGTTAACCATAGATAAAATGAGGGGGAGCTCTGGCGACGTGTCTGCACTAGGTTTATTGGAGATAGGGTGAGACAATAGTTTATGGACGACCTTTGAGCGACGCCAGACTGACCTTGAGAGTGTCTACCTAAGAACCAGGACCAAATGAGGATTACAAACCTGTGTGAGGGATCGAAATTATCATTTACAGATGATTATTGTTAGAAATTATATTTAGGGTTTTCATCACGAACTGACATCAGCTATTTATCTGAATGAATGAATTTCGAGTCAAGATCCGAGACCTGTTATCTTATACGTGATTGGTTTACCCGTAAATTATAGTCACGTCGGAGGTAGAGTGCTTTACTATAAATAGATCTCCGAGAAAAGCTTCCTGACACTTGGAATAACCTTTAATTATTCTAGAATCAGTCTCATTGCTCAAAATAAGCATGTTTTTTGCACACGCCTTTGTTTTTAGTGTTAACGACAGAATCAACAGTGCGATTTACCGCTTGTCAAACGACGTGGATTTTTATGAAATCTAAAACAACATTCTGTTGTTGAAGTTGCTATGAGAAATATTTTAAATGTACTGAATTATAGCTTAAACCTTTAGGAAAGCAACCTTACAGCACTAACATTGTCATAATATTTTGACTCAATGAACGTAAAATAAATCGATTAAAACTGGGAGATTGAAACCTCCATCATGTTTCTCAAAAACCAACACAAGTTTAGTGACTACTAAACCAATCACGGGTCAAACGAACTAACATGAGCACGGAAAACTGAATAAATAGAGGACCATAGTTGTATTTTGTCGTTTCTTTAGTTAATAAGCAATTATTCGTAAGATTTCTCTGAAGTATATGCAACACAGAACATCTCCCTGAGTACATCCTGGTATTGTAAATAAAGAAGCACGTCAACTACTTTTTGTAACATGACCAACACATACGACGTCGACTATACGTTAAACGACATATACCAAATATGCTCGAGCTTTCAGCTAACATTTTATCGGAGCTAAAAAGTCAAGTATATGTAAAACAGTGGGCAAAACAAGCCAAAATCACACGGACGGATGTTGTTTATTGAAAGGACATATTATTAAGCTCAAACGAAATGAAATGACTTAGAAAGTGTACAATGGTATAAAGTTCACAAGTACGGCCCACGTTAACCGTTTGCAAGCATCACTTTATAAAAGTGCAAATGTAAACTTCTTGACATGAAACTATAACAGAATAAAGTAGCGCTAGAACCAAAGGTGTCAAATGATAAGTTTACCCAAACTCCCTATTTTTGGGAAACATCTGTAGAAACCTTTGAGGAAATTTGGATAGATGGCGCAAAAACAAAAAAATTTCCCACGTCTGGGGACCCGAGCTCCCAATTTTGAGGAAAATTTGGCATATTTTGGGGAAGCCGCTAAAGTAAATTTTGGGGAAATGGCACAAAAACCCCGAAATTTCCACAAAATTCCCCTTTAACCTTGGTCAAAGTCATTCGACTTTGGGGATTTCCTTGAAACTTCCTCAAAGTTTTCCGAACATTAGTGAAAGTCATCTGACTTCGGGAGATTCCCCAAAATTGGATGCTCGGGGGTTTTCCCAAGGCTTTGGGGAAACTGCATTTTCCCCAATGTTTCAGCAGAACCATCTAACACTGAAGTTTTTCCCAATAATTTCCACAAAGCTTGAGGGGAACTACCTTATTTCTTATGACTTTGAGGAAAACCCCAAAATGTACCCATGATAGTGGAATTGGGTAGTGTATCATCCATCTACTTAGCATTGATAGCATTAACACCGACTTGGCACAAATAGCGCCAAATTGGCAGCAGTAGGTGAAAGCAAAGCTAAGATTACAAACTGCATCAGATACTGACTATGATGGGTGAAAATGAGAACACCAAACTAACCAGAAAGTAACATGTAGCAAAAAACTTTGAAATAGGTGCCAAGCCGAAAAACGTCCAATGCACAGTTTCGTTATTTATTTTCAGATAGCACCTGTGGTGTATCCTAGTGGAAGATCTTATTCAAAATATAACTATACGCACAGTCATCAATGGCACATCAGAAAGAGGTAACACTAGAACCTGAAATGTCTGTTTTTGAATAAAGTAAAACGGCGACAAATACCACTCACTATAAAGTGATATATAAAATGACAAATGATAACAATTGTTATGAAATGTTACTTGTCACCTCCTTCCGAGATAAAATTTACAAATGAGTTCACATGATCGGCGAAGGTTCTCTGAACGTGATGGGAGCAACAACGTGGTAAGAAAGATTATATCCCATAGTATTATTCAGTAACAATCCTGGCCACAACTCCAACATAGTGTATAACGTCCTGAACGGATGTTATAACATCATTGTGATCTTCACTCACAGACCGAGACCAATAAAGAAGAAGAACAAGCGACAAAGATAGCGCTTATTTCATTTTAACAGCTGTAGCGCGTGTGTGTTAGTACGGCGGAAAAATTATATTCGTTTTTTCCAGGTGATGTAGAGTAAAAACGGATACCGAATATAAATTTCCTTACGTGTAAAGTGTCAAAAATGAGGGAAGCTGTTATCTTTATCTTGTCATTACAAAAGCCATTGGTTTTACACGTCACTGTAGACCAATTAACACCAAAATCAACCAAATTCAACCATTACTAGATATCCTCCTAAGCTACTGTAAGACAACCGAGATAGACTTACGAGTCATAATTTCTGTTTATGAAATAGACCAGAAACGTCCTTTGCCATTTTTAATTCACGCTATTAAACCCTTTAAAATATATACTTTCCATAGCCGAAACAATAATAGGCTGCTATTAAACGTAACTCTACTTCGTAAATGTGGCTTTCAGCTTAACAACCAATCAGAATGGAGCGGGGTTTATTATATCCGCCATCTTTGCAAGCAATGGCGGTCGTCTTTCTTCGTTCTGTACTTTTTTCAGCTATTTCTTTTGTGTAGCTATGTAATTCAGTGTTTCAGTGGGCTAAAATGCCGCAGTTAGTGTAATGTTCTATATGTTGTTGTGAAATTTATTTCGAATCAGCATTGTTTTTCGGGTTTTTGCTGCTTCTACTCACGTCAATGCATTTCTTCAGCCAAGCTGGCTAGTCTTATGTTTTAAAATGGTAATCGGTTTTGTTTTGACTTGTTTTCTAGATATCCAAAGCCGAAGTTCGTTTTTTTAGCAAAAATAATTGTTGCTGCCGCCTGTGACTAACTGTCCGCATGTTCGTTTCTAACTGTCCTTTATGATGTTATCGGCAAAATTAAAGGAAACAGTCTCCGTTTTTTTAATTTTCTTCAATATTATGGACAACACTATCCCACCAACGAGTCAAACTAATACTGAGTGCCCAGTAGTAGGGGATATCAGTATCGTTTTCGAAAGGCCCCGGACTTCCGACAGCCATAGACGAAGTCACAGATACTACCAATCTATTGCAGAGGGTTTGTTATATAAACTAGGAGCTGCGAGGCTCGTGTATCGCAAGTTTCTTGCAACGATTAAGCAGATAAAACAAAGTAGCATTAGATTTAAAAATTTATTCAGGAACTTTCATTAAAAGTCGAATATCAAACAAAGGTTTAAACGAAGTTCCCGTTTAAAAGTTGCATTGGTAATGTTAGGCTGCAGTGTTTGTTGTTTTTTCCGAACGTAAGTGTGAAAGAAGTAACTCAAAAAGTACTGGAAATGGTTGTGAGAGTAAAATGGATATCCAGCATCCTTCTTATAATCTGATGTTAGTTGGGTCTCCCGTAAAGTTTCACAGGGCCATAGCTCTAGAGGCGAAACAGTTCTTAGGATCTGTGAAAACTTGTAGAATTATGGTCTACTATGATATTAGTACTGCTCTAATAATAGACCTAATCCTAAACTTGTCGATTTGTCATGATATAACTGCCTAATCTATAAGATCTTACGTGGAAGTCACACCATCGACTACACCAACTCACTGTATCGTATCAATTACCAATACATGATGAGGAACCAGGTTAGGCTAGAGAAAGAACAATATATTTAATATGAATAGAAGATATAAAGTAACACTGAGATGGACCACGCCTGCATGGACGAGCCATGCCACTCGATCAACTCCAGTCCATTCAATTCATTCTCCGCGCCTTCTCCATTGTTAGGTATTTCCCCGAGTTAAATATTGAATATCTATTTTCTGAGTAGTCTCGTGTTCACAGCTTTGTGGATTGTGTGGCTATTGTCCAATGCCACTACAAACTCACTCTTTTTGCATTCTTAATGAAAAAATAGTAAGGAATTTAGTCAGAAATGTGAAATAGATAAATAACCAAATTACATGTTTTTTAGCAAATACTTTATGCATTTGTGATTAACCTTAAGTTCATTAATATTACATCAGGTCAGCTACTATTACTTGTGCAACGCATCACGTGGGCTTAGTGCCGTATTGCAATGCTTTCATTATTTTGCTCCCATTTAAGTATTTCCATGTGTCTGTGTCTAGTTTAACAGGAAAACATACAAGCAGAGTTAGTGTCTGATAAACTAAAAGCCCTAGTTATAGGATCCAAACCACGTTTGGACTGCTGGACAGCTGCTTGGATAAGTTGGATACGCGCCCTTGCCCGTTTGAAACCAGAACAAGGTAATTGGGTAAGATAGCGGTTCTATAATTTATCATAAATTTAAGTATACATTATTACCTAAACAAATATAACCACACAGCTATCCAACCAATAATTGTTTAATTGATCAGATCTAAACTACAATAAATAAGAAAGTTGATAAAGAATGCAAGAAAATTACCAATCACCACAAATAAATGTTATTCTATCCTGTCTGGATAGATCACGTACAGATTCGTTCAAAAGGTAATAATTGGTCGCTCTATAACACAGAGTGTTTTCAATTCTGGAAGAGTGCTTCAATTCACAACCAAAATGCACAATTCCAGTCAACACAGGTCAAGCAATCAAAAGCAAGAACAAACCAAAATGGTTGCCGCTCAGACTTAGTATAAAGTAAAACAACATAAGTGCAGTTCGGGAAGAAACATGGGGAATTAGTGAAGGTGTGGTAAAAACGAAAACTATAATAAAATACAAATATTAACAATTCAAATGTAGTCCAAAAGTTAACAATGTACAACTAAGAAGATCAATAGGAACAAAGTGCAAGTACATACATGGAGGGATATTCATAAACACACAAGGCATTCAAAATGGATCTTACACCGGCCCCCAAAATCCCTCCATATCACACAAGCTACCTTGATGCCTATGGTCATGGTTCATTATGTAGCATATCACACTATAGGAACGAGTAGGACTTACAACAGTACGCCTACTCGACCTACCTATATTGATAACACGAGGAACTAATTCGAGCCTTCAAGGAGGCATAATCTACGTATATCTCTCCTGACTAATCCACTGTTCGTACGAACAACCACTGTTCTAACTCTTCCGTCGTCATCTATTTCACAATCTTCAACTACGCCTAAGGGCCATTTTCCACGAGTCGATATGTCCGAAGCTACGATCACTACATCCCCTTTCTGGAAATTGCGGTGTTCAACTAACCACTTTTGACGCTTTTGTAGGGACGGTAAATACTCTCTTAACCACCTTTTCCAAAACACATTAGCAAGATGATTAATCTGTTTCCAACGTTTGTCATATTTATCTCTGATGCTACCTTCTTCGACTATTCCGTCACATTCTCTCAATAATAACAAACTATTTGGCGACAAAGCTAGTTTATCGTTAGCATCTTGAACGACCGGAGTTAAGGGTCGATCGTTCAGTATCCTTTCAATCTCGATCAAAAAAGTGTTTAAAGTCTCATCGGTTAAAGTCTGCTCTCTAGTTATCAACAATAAAAGTCGGCGTATGGACCTAATCATCCTTTCCCAAACTCCACCCCTGTGGCTGGATGAGGGCGGGTTAAAATACCATTGAATTTGTCTAGCTGACAGTTCTTTGTCTATTTTCTGTTGATTCAACTGTTGCACAAACCTCCTTAATTCAGAGACCGCACCCACGAAATTTGATCCATTGTCACTGTAAATTTCGGCAGGTTTCCCTCTTCTTCCAATGAAACGTAGCAAAGCCATTATAAACGAATCAGTATTCAAACTATGTGTCATTTCAATATGTACTGCTCGGGTTTGCAAGCAAGTAAATACACATCCATATCTTTTTTCTAGTGATCTTCCTCTTTTAACAAAAAGGGGTCCAAAGTAGTCTACTCCCACGGCTGAGAAGCTATACCATCCTTGTTGCACTCTACAAGCTGGAAGTGGTGCCATCAATTGTTGCCCTGTAACCATCGTATACCGCCGGCATGTCACACACTTTCCTATCACTCTCCTAACCGTGCTGGTTCCTTTTATTATCCAATACCTTTTTCGAATCGTGCCCAGTACTTGTGACGTTCCTGTGTGCCCTTGTTCCTTATGATAATGTCTAATTATCATTTCTGTCACTAAGTGTCGACTGGGCAATATTATTGGATGTTTAAAGGCATTTGAGAAATCTGAGTAGCTTAGTCGGCCTCCAACACAGAGTAACCCATCAAGCATTATCGGTGATAAGCCCTTCAGATCATTGTGACTAACTACTTTACCATTGGTTTTAAATCCACTAAGTATTTCTCCATACACTTCTTTCTGAACCATCAACAAAATTTTACGCGTGGCGACGTCAAGTTCTTTGACCTTTAAATACCCTAGATGAACGGATCCTTCATAACTCGGTGAACGAAGCACCATCAGAAATTCTATGAACCTTCTAAGCCAGGCTACGGCCCTGACTAATTTCAACCACTCAGAGTAATAAGAGAGAATAGGTGACATGTTGTGCTTTATACTACTCAAGTTAACCACAGCAGTTTTTCTAAACTCAATATCGTCAGTAGGTTCCGGACAGTCAGTGATTGTTGTACAGAATTCGCCATGCAGTAAGGTAGGACATTTGAACCAAGATTCCAGATCAGTCATTTTTTGTATACCTCTTGATGTCCAATCAGCTGGATTCTGTGACGACTTTACATAATTCCATTGTTCAACCTTCGTATACTGGTGCACCACAGCGAGGCGGTTGGCTATATAGGTGCTATATCGGTTCTCCATATTCTTAATGTAGTATAACACTATCATGGAATCTGTATAGAAGTTTACTTCGCAGAAAAAATTAGGCAGACTTCTCCGTAATACTTCACTAAGCCTCACACTTAACACCGCTGCCGCCATCTCAAGTCTCAGTATAGTGACTTGTCTGATAGGTGCTACCCTAGACTTGCTGTACAACAAGATACAATATGGTGGCTCCTTCAAATAGCTGACTCGTGCGAACGCAACTGCTCCGTAACCAACCTCTGAAGCATCACTGAACAAGTGCAATTCCACTTTAGCGTCGGGTTCGTCGATTTTCCTCTTGATACCTCGAGCTACCGTGACGTGACCTATCTGACGCATAAAACTTACCCAGCCTAGCCACGCGGACATGTATGGCTCGTCGAGAGGCTGATCCCAGCCTATTTGGGACCTACATAATTTTTGCAAGAGAAGTTTGGCAGTAAGACAGACTGGAGCAATCAGCCCCAGAGGATCGAACAAAGAAGAAACTATAGATAAAATACCTCTCCTAGTCAGAGGCCTTTCCGGTGCATCAAAGTAAAACTTAAATACATTTTGCTTAAAATCCCATTCTACACCTAGGGTTCGATGAGGGGTGTCGTAATCCGTAGACATTTCTATCAAGGACTGTTCTTTACATACATCAGGCAAGATGGCCCTTACCTCCTCTGAGTTGGTAACCCATTTCTTTAGTTTGAAGCCACCTCTACATAATAATTCACTTATCTGCTTGACGAAACTCTTTGCTTGATCACAAGTGGGAAAAGATACCAAGCAGTCATCAACATAGAAATTATTCTTAACAGCATCTACGACATAACCATCATAACCGTCAGAGAATATTTGGGCCGTCTTATTCAAGGCAAAGTTCGCGCAAAACGGCGATGATATGGCACCAAATGGATGAGATGTCATTTGAAACTCGGATGGTTCTTTCGACATGTCTCCCCCCTGCCACCACAGAAATCTTAAGGCTCCTCGATCAGACTCAGGGACCTTCACTTGCATGAACATTTCTTCAACATCCGCAGAGACTGCGATTGCTTCTTTGCGAAAACGCAATAATATACACACTAACTCAGCCGTTGTGTCGGGTCCTTGATAAATCATATCATTTAGAGAAACACCCGCAAACTTAGCGGCACAGTCAAGGACCACTCTCAGTTTTTCTGGCTTTTTCGGGTTTATAACTGCATGGTGGGGCAAGTACCAACGGGGGCGATAACTAGGTTGCAATTGTATTTCAGGGATCTCCTCCGCATAGCCCTTAATAAAATTACTTTCAATACCTTTTGTATACTTGATATACAGAATGTCATCTTTCAACAATCTACGCTTCAAAATCTGTAGTCTACTGCTTGCCACTTCATAATTCCCCCCTTTCATATTTGGGTTCACTTTCCATGGTATAGGAACTACAAAATGACCATTTTCGAAGCGTGTGCCCTCTTCCACAATTCTTATAGCCGCCTTATCTTCTAGCGATGCTGATTTATCATTTGAATAAACATCAGAAAACTCTACATCATAAAGTTTACGTATTTCGTTCTCCAAGGTCTGTATCTTACTGGTATGATTGACCACTCTTCTCCTATATTCCGGATACGACGCAGGTCCGAAGACCGTCCAACCCAGCAACGTCTTCACAGCGTACGGGCTTTTTCTCCCACCCAACCGCTGGTCTAACACCCAGTGTGCTTCTGGTACGTCGCAACCAATCAACAGCAGAACTTCTTCAGAGTCTAAGTTAACTATCGGTACATCCCTTAAATGTGGCCACTTAACTAGGCTGTTCACTGCCGACTTTGTTGGCTTATGGCCTGGTATACCTGCCACAATCAGAGCTCCTTCAATCGTAACATGTTCAGCTCGATCTAAAGAATATACCTCAAAAGGCGCACTCGTGACCTTCATTGTTCTATTACCGCCCATAGTCTCAACTACCACTGATGCTTCGTCTTCGCTCAGCCCGAGAGACCTCAAACAGTTTGATTTTATCAGTGTCACATCAGAACCGTTGTCCAACAGAGCATAACCCACAATCTCGGCTTTTCGCGATTTCAACCGTACGGGAATCATGCCTAAACACACTTGACTGATTAGTGATTTAGTATATCCGCAACAACTCGAGATACCAGGTTTCTCACTCTCGCTGTGCAACAAAGAATGGTGTTTCTTTTCACAACCCTCAACGTTACAGCGCTTTGTCAGCTTACATTCATTAACTCTATGTCCTTGTCTAAGACAGGCGAAACAGATACCCTTGCTTTTAGCGTGAGACCATCGGTCTTGAACTGTAAGCGCTAAGAACTGTGGACATTTATTAATGCCATGGTCGTAGGAACACATACTGCATTTGGTTTTTGTTGTCGAACTATTCCCTTGCTCTGATTGCACGTGACAGTTCGTCCTCACGTTATGTCCTTTTCTTGAACGGTTTGCTAACCGTCCAAATCTACTACAAGCCACTCTCGCACGCGATGCGATAAAATGAGTGAGCTCGTCGAAGGTCGGTTCCCTGTTATCTTCAGTCAATTTATCCACCCAGTCCGCCCACTGGGCTTGCATAGGTTGAGGCAAAAGTCTCACTATTCTTTCCAAGGTAACTAAGGAATTTAGATCAGAAGTATAATTCATCTGTTCCAAGACCATGGCACAGTTTTCCATTTTAATAGCCAAATTTGATAGTTGGTCCCCGTCAATATACTCAAAATTCACAGCACTGAATAAGTCCTCTAGTGTTTCTCGAGCAATTACGTGAGACTGTCCGAAAAAACGTTTTAAAATCTCCCTTGCTCTTTTATAGCCAGAGGATGCCTCCATCATGACGCAACATTCAATAGCTGTTTTAGCCTTGCCCTTACAGTAGTGTATCAAATAGAGTAAGCGCTGGCTATCATCCGTGACTCTTGACGCTACATACGTCTCAAATTGCCTTATAAATTTCCAATAACCTTTTAGCTCTCCATCGAAATAACTCAGCTCAACCTTAGGTAGCTCTGGGCCAACAACATGGACTATAGGCGACATGCTCTTTCCTAGTAATTCAGGCCTTTGCTCCTCCTTTAAACTAAGATTTTTTACATCATCTGACATCAAATTAAGACTAGAATCACTGCCCTGATAATTAACCCTATTTAAGTCTGAACCATGACCCTTAAGGACGTCAAAAGGCACTTGCTTGACAATAGGGGATTCTTCGTTAACATCGACGAACTTTGAGCCTGATCTCCTTCGACGATTAACTGGCATTATAAACGAAACGACCAATTAATTCCAGAAAATCCGTGAACGATTACCAAAGGATTTCGGCCAAGTAATATTTGTTTAGAACTATAGGATCCAAACCACGTTTGGACTGCTGGACAGCTGCCTGGATAAGTTGGATACGCGCCCTCGCCCGTTTGAAATCAGAACAAGGTAATTGGGTAAGATAGCGGTTCTATAATTTATCATAAATTTAAGTATACATTATTACCTAAACAAATATAACCACACAGCTATCCAACCAATAATTGTTTAATTGATCAGATCTAAACTACAATAAATAAGAAAGTTGATAAAGAATGCAAGAAAATTACCAATCACCACAAATAAATGTTATTCTATCCTGTCTGGATAGATCACGTACAGATTCGTTCAAAAGGTAATAATTGGTCGCTCTATAACACAGAGTGTTTTCAATTCTGGAAGAGTGCTTCAATTCACAACCAAAATGCACAATTCCAGTCAACACAGGTCAAGCAATCAAAAGCAAGAACAAACCAAAATGGTTGCCGCTCAGACTTAGTATAAAGTAAAACAACATAAGTGCAGTTCGGGAAGAAACATGGGGAATTAGTGAAGGTGTGGTAAAAACGAAAACTATAATAAAATACAAATATTAACAATTCAAATGTAGTCCAAAAGTTAACAATGTACAACTAAGAAGATCAATAGGAACAAAGTGCAAGTACATACATGGAGGGATTTTCATAAACACACAAGGCATTCAAAATGGATCTTACACTAGTTGTCAAAAAGTTTCTTAACATTTATCCACAGCCAGCTACATTTGATTGAGACACAGAACACTCATTTTCTAAGACTGTATACTGCTGTTTTGGGGGCAACTAAAAGCTCAGAAGCTTAGCTACCCTGCTACCGACGTTATTGCTGGGGAAATTGTTTAATGACAGTGATCTTGAAATATGGTCACCGATAGATGTACACTCTAGAAATAAACACCAAATAAACTTAAAGCTATCTTATAATGTATGACAACAACAGTACCAAAGGCATTTTTTCATATTTTCAGTCAGACTGATTTAAATCGGTATACTCACTAGAATCAGGCAGCTCTACTTACTAAACTGATCTGTTTCGTTACAGGCTTCAAGCACTATACTTAGGTATACCATAATTCTTCCGACTAAACTGAACTATACGACAACCAAGAAAATCAAACTAAGCAAGTGTCATAATTATTGTTTCCTTTGCGCAGACATGTTGCTCAAAGTAGTTAAATGGACATAATTAAGCCGATAAAACCAAAACACGAAATATAGGCCAGTTGAACTTACCTAACAGAAGACAAAGAATATATATATTGCTTTGAGACTAAAGACAACAGTCAGTTGTTCATGAAAACATAGTTTACAGTACAAAAAACCTTTCTTCAGTTACATTATGCACTCATGGTTTATCTGGAAACAATCAACTATGTGATTATACTCACTATGACTTGGTATATCATCCCAGCGTTCAATGAACGTACAATGTAACGCAGTCTGACGTGGCGAATAAAAATTACAAACAGAGCAAAATTAACAACGTAATCTAGGTATTTAATTAAAAATACATTATGAAATGACAAAATCTGTTGTTACTTGAACGCACACATGACCTTTGTTACACTGGGCGATGCAATAAGTTTACATGGTTGCGTAGCGGATAAATTCACCCCAATAATACGCTGCTTGAAATTCATATTCTAAATGCACGCTGACATGCGTCAGTTATAGTTTGAGTGATTCCCAATGAAATTACAGAACGTTCCACAAACAACCCACAATAATTGAATCCCTCAGTAAAAGTCACTTAACAATTATCAGTGGTTCTGTGGTGATTACTAAGTGTGCTTTCAATACTGTTATTATAAAAAATTTTATTCCACTTATTGCATAGTCGTGTACATTGCTACAATGATCTGTGTGAACTGATGCACTCTTAATAGATTTCTTCCCTGACGACAAATGATTTATTCACTCGAGCAGAGCATTTAAATCTTCCTTTAATCGCTCCCAATCTTCTTCGTTTTGTGTGGGTCTGCAGACAATAATATCATCAGTAAATATTAAGGTCGATGGCTTAGTTATTGTGAATATATCATCTACATGAAAACGAAAGGCCTGAAGATATCTCACGAGGAATTCTCTTTTCTATAGTTTCTTAAGATAAAGTATCCACTTGACCTTATAGCGGTACTAAAGTGTCCTTAAGAAAACGTCAAACACTTATTAGGGTCAAAATAGGCTTGTAAACTAGTTTGGAGGAATAGACTTAAGAGTTGTAATTAGAAATTAGAGTTAGGAAGTTAAGAGGTTCAATAACACCCATTTTCTGAAGCCGTTCAAATTCTTGTTCAACTATTGGAAGAGCAATATAAGGTACAGGTTTTTTAGGTCGAAAGATGAGAGTGGCTCTAGGTTTGAGGGTTAACAATGCTTTGGCCCTCGTACATTCTCCCAATCCTTCTTTAAACACGTTGTAGTGTCTTTGTAGCACGGTATGATTCTGGTTCCACTTTAAGAAGTTATCAGTTCTGATTGATCTGCAGGTGTTGTTAATAGAATGGTCTGGTGGTTTATGTGTATCTACAAGACCTAACCCCAATAAGTCGAGTGTTGCGATCGATTCGTGCTCGGTTATGCGATACCAATATTTTGTTAGTTAATGCACCGCATCTGTGTTTGCTGAAATAGGGTTTCGAAGAATGTCGTTTATGGGTCATTTTTCTTCAGCTGGTTACTTTATGGCCCGTAGGATGACATTTAGTGCAACAATATTCTTTATATGGGCAAAACCTTTTATAATGCCAAACTCTACATGGAGATGAGGGCTGGTTGTCTGTGCGAAATTATTTTCTTTAGCAGGAGTCTTTCTTTTGGCTCACAGCATGAACCTGTGGATATCGGCTATTATTTTCAACCATGGAAGTGTTGTGCTTCAAGTTTACCAATCTCTGGAACTCCGTGGTTACTTCCTGTACTGTTACATTCGGGCGCTGTTCAATTTTATTTAGGATCCTGGTTCTTATATCAGCATCTTTGGGAGATTGGAGACTGTACACAAACAAAAGACACTTAAACTGATCTTCTATCACTGCTGATGGTTTGAAACGCTCACACTCACAGTTTGTTGAACTCGCATGCTTCACCCAGTCATCATCACTTGCTTTTGTTACCTTGAGATACTGATAACGAATATTAAACAAGGATGGCTGTTCAGCAAAGATTTGCGAAAAATATCAATTGTTGCATAAAAAGTAAAATCTCTTCGATTCTTGGGAAGGATGAAGTTACTGTATCATTCACGTTCAACCATGTCAAGTTTTCTTAAGAGTATTCTGACCATGGTAATGTCATCAAGTTTTTCTTGAAAAAATCTCCATATTTCTTAAGCCAGGTTTCAAAAGTAATGCCATTCAAACCATTGAAATTAAATTCATGGATAGAATTAATGATGGAATCGGTATGATGATTACATGAATCATCAGCAAATTCCTTGTGACTAATACTCATCTGTTGATTTAGCTTCTCCAGTATCCACACTTGGAACTGATCATACCGTTCATCTTGACGTCCAAGCATGGATTTTATTAGTTCAAGAGTAGTCGGCATTGTAAGTGGTACACACCACTTCTACTGTTAAGTTCGCTACTTAATTAACACACAATACGGTTTACGACTACGGTACTCGAAAGCTGGAAATTCACCGTCGCAAATCAGAAAACAGAAGAAAATGCTGGAGGAGTGTTTATTTGGTAAGAATCTAAATGTAAAGAAAATCATGGTTATTTATAGATATTAGCTTTCGTTGAATCAACACTCTAATTCGGCAAATCCGCAAAGAGATGCATTATGCTACTATCCAATTGCAGAATGTCACGTTGATATTTTATCATGTTCTGATTGGATGGAAATGTAGAATTATGGTCTACTATTATATTAGTATTGCTCTAATAATAGACCTAATCCTAAAATTGCAGATTTGTCATGATATAACTGCCTAACCCATAAGATCCTACGTGGAAGTCACATCATCGTCTACACCAATTCACTGTATCGTATCAATTACCAATACATGGTGTAGAACAAGTTTAGGCTAGAGAAGGAACAATATATTTAATATGAATAGAATATATAAGGTAACATTCAGATGGACCACGCCTGCATAGCCGAGCCATGCCATTCGATCAACTCTAATTCATTCAATTCCTTGTTCGCGCCTTCTTCATCGTTAGGTATTTATCCGCGTTAAATATTGAATATCTATTTTCCGAGTAATCTCATATTCAGCTTTGAGGATTGTGTGGTTATGGTCCAATGCCACTACAGCAACTCTTCGGCTCCTTAAGGCCTCTGGAGTCTCCGTTGTAGTTCTCGGAAGCCGACTCAACTCAAACATTCAGAAATGTCAGATCAGATACGACTCTGTAGACCTTGTTCATTCTATTGACGCACACAACATTCACCCTTCACAAAGCAGATTAACGGCATTTTGAGTTACTCAGAATCGACCACGGTCAATCATTTGTGTACTTCCAACGGCTTGGTAGGCTTTTATTGACGGCTCAAACCGAATTGAGCCTCTCATTAGATTCTTAACAGACGGAATTCGTGGAAATAAGAAATCCCTCAATTCGGACGATAATGCTTAAAAGGCATTTCCTCCGGTTAATGAACTTATCTGAAAAGCACCTGTGTTCTCAGCCATCATATATCAGTGGACTCGTTAGACTCTGAAATCGGAGGAGTCTTACGCTCATTGGCAAACAGCAAATAACAACAATTGACGTTCTTCTTGAGACAGTTGAAAGACATTAAATCAACGTTTAGCGCTTTCGGTTGTGAACTCTAAGTCATATGCTGTTATACATGACTTTCAGCACTTTGTGGAAGGCAAAGGATCCACTTTATTTACCGACCATAAACCTTGTAACAACTTAGATTGATTAGTTAAGAGTTGTCCTCGAATATCTAAGTATATATCAATACACTAGAGTTAAAGTATTCATTCACTTCCTCAATTTGTATATGGATTATGTTTCCTATTATCTTATATCGGATGTTAGAAAGCTATGTGTGTTTAAGCGGGCAACCTGGCACTCCATTTATCATGCACCACGATCCAAACAAAGACCAGTTAACTATTGGTCTGGTCTATTATATCAATACGACAAGCAGTACATATTGTAGTGGCATTGGATCATAACCACACAATCCTCAAAGCTGAACACGAGACTACTCAGAAAATAGATATTCAATATTTAACGCGGATAAATACCTAACGATGAAGAAGGCGCGAACAAGGAATTGAATGAATTAGAGTTGATCGAATGGCATGGCTCGAGTATGCAGGCGTGGTCCATCTGAATGTTACCTTATATATTCTATTCATATTAAATATATTGTTCCTTCTCTAGCCTAAACTTGTTCTACACCATGTATTGGTAATTGATACGATACAGTGAATTGGTGTAGACGATGATGTGACTTCCACGTAGGATCTTATGGGTTAGGCAGTTATATC